CGTCTGACATCCCCAGAGATTGGAAAGCTGCCGCGGTCATCCCCCTCTTCAAAGGGGGTGACACTCTAGATCCAAACTGTTACAGACCTAAGTATTTGAAAGCCAAGTTAACAAACAGATCACCGACCATTTCGAATCCCACCGTACCTTCTCCGCTATGCAATCTGGTTTCCGAGCTGGTCATGGGTGTACCTCAGCCACGCTCAAGGTCCTAAACGATATAATAACCGCGATCTATAAAAGACAGTACTGTGCAGCCGTCTTCATTGACCTGGCCAAGGCTTTTGACTCTGTCAATCACCGCATTCTTATTGGCAGACTAAATAGCCTTGGTTTCTCAAATGACTGCCTCGCCTGGTTCACCAACTACTTCTCAGATAGAGTTCAATGTGTCAAATCGGAGGGCCTGTTGTCTGGACCTCTGGCAGTCTCTATGGGGGTGCCACAGGGTTCAAATCTCGGGCAGACTCTATTCTCTGTGTATATCAATGATGTCGCTCTTGCTGCTGGTGACACTCAGATCCACCTCTATGCAGACGACACCATTTTGTATACATCTGGCCCTTCATTGGACACTGTGTTAACAAACCTCCAAACGAGCTTCAATGCCATACAACACTCCTTCCGTGGCCTCCAACTGCTCTCAAATGCTAGTAAAACTAAATGCATGCTCTTCAATCGAACGCTGCTTGCACCCGCCTGCCCGACTAGAATCATTACTCTTGGCGGGTCTGACTTAGAATATGTGGACAACTACAAATACCTACAGTGGGGGAAAAAAGTATTTAGTCAGCCACCAATTGTGCAAGTTCTCCCACTTAAAAAGATGAGAGAGGCCTGTAATTTTCATCATAGGTACACGTCAACACAGAAAATCACATTGTAGGATTTTTAATGAATTTATTTGCAAAATATGGTGGAAAATAAGTATTTGGTCAATAACAAAAGTTTCTCAATACTTTGTTATATACCCTTTGTTGGCAATGACACAGGTCAAACGTTTTCTGTAAGTCTTCACAAGGTTTTCACACACTGTTGCTGGTATTTTGGCCCATTCCTCCATGCAGATCTCCTCTAGAGCAGTGATGTTTTGGGGCTGTCGCTGGGCAACACAGACTTTCAACTCCCTCCAAAGATTTTCTATGGGGTTGAGATCTGGAGACTGGCTAGGCCACTCCAGGATCTTGAAATGCTTCTTACGAAGCCACTCCTTCGTTGCCCGGGCGGTGTGTTTGGGATCATTGTCATGCTGAAAGACCCAGCCACGTTTCATCTTGAATGCCCTTGCTGACGATACATGGCCCCATTCATTCTTTCCTTTACACGGATCAGTCGTCCTGGTCCCTTTGCAGAAAAACAGCCCCAAAGCATGATTTTTCCACCCCCATGCTTCACAGTAGGTATGGTGTTCTTTGGATGCAACTCAGCATTCTTTGTCCTCCAAACACGACGAGTTGAGTTTTTACCAAAAAGTTCTATTTTGGTTTCATCTGACCATATGACATTCTCCCAATCCTCTTCTGGATCATCCAAATGCACTCTAGCAAACTTCAGACGGGCCTGGACATGTACTGGCTTAAGCAGGGGGACACGTCTGGCACTGCAGGATTTGAGTCCCTGGCGGCGTAGTGTGTTACTGATGGTAGGCTTTGTTACTTTGGTCCCAGCTCTCTGCAGGTCATTCACTAGGTCCCCCCGTGTGGTTCTGGGATTTTTTCTCACCGTTCTTGTGATCATTTTGACCCCACGGGGTGAGATCTTGTGTGGAGCCCCAGATCGAGGGAGATTATCAGTGGTCTTGTATGTCTTCCATTTCCTAATAATTGCTCCCACAGTTGATTTCTTCAAACCAAGCTGCTTACCTATTGCAGATTCAGTCTTCCCAGCCTGGTGCAGGTCTACAATTTTGTTTCTGGTGTCCTTTGACAGCTCTTTGGTCTTGGCCATAGTGGAGTTTGGAGTGTGACTGTTTGAGGTTGTGGACAGGTGTCTTTTATACTGATAACAAGTTCAAACAGGTGCCATTAATACAGGTAACGAGTGGAGGACAGAGGAGCCTCTTAAAGAAGAAGTTACAGGTCTGTGAGAGCCAGAAATCTAGCTTGTTTGTAGGTGACCAAATACTTATTTTCCACCATAATTTGCAAATAAATTCATTAAAAATCCTACAATGTGATTTTCTGGATTTTTTAACCCTATCCTTAACCCTAAGCCTAACCCTAAAAGTATACCTAACTCCTAAACCTAACCGTAACCCCTAACCTTAATTCTAACCCTAATCCTAGTTGTAACCCTAAACATAAACCTAACTAATCCCTAAGCCTAAAATTGCATTTCTTCTCGTGGGGACCTGCAAAATGTCCTTGTGAGGACTTCTGGTACCCACAAGGATAGTTAAAGAAACACCCCCCCACACACACACACACACAGTCTTGTACATCTAATCTTGTGGGGACACACAGTACAGTTCCATTCAAAATCCTATTTTCCCTAACCCCTAACCCTAACCCGTACTCTTACCCTAACTTTAACCCAAAAACCTTAACCCTAACCCTAAACCTAACCCTAGCTCCTAACCCTAACCCTAAAACTAACCCTAGCTCCTAACCCTAACCCTTAACGTAATTCTAACCCTAACACTAATTCCAACCTTAACCCTAAACCCCCTAGAAATAGCATTTGACCTAACAAAATGTCCCCAGTTGGTCAAATGTTTGTTTGTTTATTATCCAGGATGGTACTACAGTATCTCCATGGTAACACAGGCCATGCATACTGTTATAAACTGCATAATAAGTAAAAAAATGAAGACTGGGCACCAAAGTTTGGATTTCAACAAAACTGTCTTTAATTCACTGGTACTGTTTATAAAATCAGTCTGTGTAGTCTGCTTTGATGCCAACTTAAACATGGTGTGAGTGTTTGTATTATTTTTGTGTGCTTTATGAATGTACTGTGTGTATGGATTGTGGGTTTATGCGGGTACGTGTGTGTGTGGTGTGTGTGTGTGTGTGATGTGTGAATATAAGAGTGCTGGATAAGGCAACATGCAGTAATCAGTTTCCATTGACCTCAAAGTAATAATACACACATACCTGCTCTATAATACAGACACTGATGCTGGACTGACCTGCTGTATATGTAACAGACACACACACACACAGACACACTCTTTGTACCTGCACAGGGCAGACCGGTTTTAGTCTCTAATGTTACTTGCTGACACAGGGAAGGGTGGGACACACTGAGTGACAGGGCAGAGGAAGCCTCTGATTGGCTGAGATGGTTGACAATAGGAGTAGTTGACCAATGACAGTAGAAAATTGACTATTTTTGGGGGAATCAAACATCGATTTTAATATACATTTCCCAGCATTCCCTATGTGTGATGCTCTTCTACTCTGCCTGTCTGCTTGACTATTGCTTGGTATTACTATGACAACAACATATTTTCACAAGTAGCATCATTCTGAATCGCTTTCTGCTTTTCTCCCTTCCAACCCTGCCAGTAGACCCAGGCCAGATCTAGACCCAGACTAAACCCAGGCTAGACCAAAACCACTGTAGTGTATTGCGTATATTGATATCTTCTGTTGTTATGTAATTCCCAGTGGTGGCAGGAGCATTCTTCCTCTCACACACACTAACAGAACATGTGTATTGCTTTCTGGCGTGTCTCAAGACATATTGTTATGAAATGTGGGGTAATGTAGTTAGGCAACACACTATCCAGGATACACTTCCACACTCCACCCCCAGGTGGCAGTGGGCAGGTCTAAGTGCTGAGCTAAGCCTTTGAAAAGAACATCAGGTGCAGCCAATTGGACGGATTGCCAGTCTGGGAGAAAGAGAGGAGCCAGAAGCCTCTCTGCCGGCCTTTTGTTTCTTTGTTTGTGTTAGTTAACCTCTTTAGTTGTTTGTTTCTTTGTGTTAGTTAACCTCTTTAGTTGTTTGTTTCTTCGTGTTAGTTAACTTCTTTATTTGGGCATGCCCTTTTCTTGTTTTGTTTTTGTACATATTTATGTTTCACCATCTGAACAAATAATAATCTGCTTGGACTGGCTGATCAAGAGGTCAAGACGGAGCTGGCCCTGGACTTAAGGGAAGGTGGCTGTCTCCTGGGCGCATGTACATTCAACACCTGGTCACATACGTTTCCTTCTCATGTTAATGCACACATCAAATCAGGTTACAGACCAGTTAACTAGGCCTAAGACCCCTCGACTTAGCAAGTGCAACAATGTAAGCAGGCTAGTTAATCATTTTGTAACAATATGACCCTGTTACATGTATGACCAAACACACGCTCTAATTCATTGCACATGTCCCTACAGCAGCATCTCATGGACAGAACACCCCTGAACTGGCCTACTACCTGACACGTCTAACACAGACCAACACATCCAAACTACAATCAATCTCTCTGTGGTTCTGTAATCCTAAATAATAATCACAGCTCTTATCTACCCTGTGTGGGTGTGTGTTTGTGTGTGTGTGTGTGTGTGTGTGCGTGCATGTGTGCATTTGTGTTTGTGTGCGCATGTGTGTATTTTTGCTGTGCATGTGTGTGTGCAGGTCTCTTGATAGGGTATTGGGTGGCGATAGGCAGAACATAACACTAGGGGTAACAACATGACAACAACGACACAAAGGCGGGGAGCTATACAGGAGAGGGGGGCAGAAGGGGGCTGTTGGGGAAACAAAGGGTCTCATGGGGTATCAGGGGGGGCAAAGGGGGTATCTGGAAGAGTCTGTATCAGTTTTGGTTCCATAAAGTCACAAAAAAATAAGTAGAACATCTGGAAGTCTGGAACAGCAGGGCGAGGGGAGCGAGCGACCAACGGAAGGTTGGGGAGAAGAGATCCCTGGAATGACTAGTAGCCGCCCTGAGAGCCCTGAGAGTGAGAGTGAGAAAGAGAGAGTAGCAACAATCATGTCATGATATCACCATCTTATGCATAAAGAAAGTAACATAAAATGTGTGGTTTGATGTCACTTACCTCTCCTTCTCCTCCCTGCTCCATTCCTCCATATTCCGCCTACAGAGAGAGATAGTTTACATAAGAGTAGGGAAGGAAGAACATTAAGGTATGATGACATGAGAGGTCTAGGGTATCAAGCAGTGAACCATGTTCATGTGATGAGTAACCTTGCCTGAGACCTGAAGACTTGTGTTGGCTCCTAGACCTGGTGCCTAGGGTTTAGCTCATTGGACTAGTGCAATCGTGCGGTGTGCAGACGCCCTGGCTTCAAACCCAGCAGGTTACAGCTACATCAAGCATATTATCCCTTATGTCATGCTTATGACAGGGTTAAGTATGATACAGGGCCACTCAGTCCCAGTCTCTGGGCTGAAGTGTCTAATGAGGCGGATGTTAGCACGTCCATAGCTAGCAGAATGGATGTGATGTCACCCTCCTTGAGACCTGAAGTAGTGTTGCCCCAACAAACCAAAGCCATTATTTTTGTAGGCAGCGGTTAGCACGGTACAGGAACAAACTCTGTTACACTTTTTACTGAGCACCTTAAACCAGAGTGATCCATTCAGAGTAAGTGCATGCTATATGCTACACCAGAGATGCAGAGAGGCACCCTAAGTTATTATCTATATTACACCTAGCTGAAGTAGAGCACAGTTACAGATGGTTATGGATAGGGTTAGGAGAGGGTTGAAACAGGTTTAGAATGTAACCCCAGGTCCTAATAGCACGCTAGGCAATCAGTGTTTGAAAGCCCACTTAGGAATGATATATGCACTTAGGGATTATACATGTTAGGCTGAATCATGCAGCATTCCCTAGTCAGCCACCCCACCATAACCTATAACCTCTGAACCCCCCTTCTCTCTCCTGCCCAATAGGCACCTCGTATACAGGCTGAGGCTCCTCCTACCAACGGAACATAGAGGAAACAAACACAACAACAACAACAACAAAGGGTTAGCAACACAACGTCAGCACAACACCAACACAACACTGCCACAATTGCAACATAAGCACACAAAATAGAAACTATATCAACACACAAAAAAATATATCAACACACAATCGCAACACTCTCAGCACATACAATGGCATAGCAACACAACAGCATAGCAGGATCACAACAGTAAGAAATCGAACCTGGCTGCCACACACAGAACGATGCCAACACACAAAGTAAAACACACCAGCACACACACGATTCACAACACAACAGCCAAATACAGACCTCTTCATATTGGGAATGTGGAGTGAGTTATAGGCCTACCATCAAACCTAATCTGCCTGGACCTCTGAACCACTGGCTTTTAGAGGAGCTGTCATTCCCCTGTCTGTGCAGCTGTACTGTAATAAATAGCTCCACCATGTGGTCAAGCAGCAGACTGCTCTTATGGCGTCAGCATGGCACTACTGTCTGAGCCCGACTGAAGGATTTAGACACTGTTATGCTTGTTGATGCTGCAATCATGTTGTTGCTCGACCTTGTTGTATTTCTCATTCTGTTGTAATCATTTCAAAAGGGTGCTGTGTCACCTGATTGATAGTCTCGTGAGGCCAGAAGGGGCTACCTGATTGATAATGTCAAGTTTGGTGTCTAGTTATTATTATGTCAATGATCCTAATCTGTCATTCCTTACCAGTTATTGATCACATGTATATTCTTGTTCACATTGACCTGTCAGTCACTAATTGATCAATCATTCTTTCATCTGTTGTCATGGTAACTCACCGCCTGTCCGGTGTTCTCCATGCCACCCTGCGAGAGGTCAGCTCCGGCAGCAGTGGGGTCTCCGACGATGTTTGCCTGGTCGCGGTTAGCAACTGACACACAGAGATCAATCAACCAATCAGTTAATAAATAAATAAATAAATCAGATCCCACAAGAATGTGCGTGTGTGTGTGTCTTACCTTTGTTTACTCCTGCGTCCATTCCCTCCTTTGTCTTTGAACCTGAGGACAGGAGAGACATTACAACATGTCAACAGATCAATATATTATAATCACATTGCAATGGAAGCCATGAAATATGATCAGGGATCAGTTTTGTGATTTATTATGCAAACACAGCCTAAGAAGTACTGTGTTAATTAATGAGTGCAGCAAACAGAGATCTGTTGTAACCTTTTAGTATTATATTTCGTTGGTGAGGTTTTAGTAGCAGGGAGAGCACTGCAGGTGGCAGTGTAGAATTCAGCAGCATACTGTATGTCACTCACTGTAAAATCCAAATGGATGATATTATCTTATAATTCCTCTCCTCCATAATAACAGTGTTTCTCTGTACATCTCTCTCTCTCTCTCTAACCATCTCTCTCTCTCTCTCTCTCTCTCTCTCTCTCTCTCTCTCCTCTCTGTGATGCTACAGTATGAAAGGATCCTAGGCTGATTAAATAGTAGTTATGCAACCAGCTGGATAGAGGGAAAGGGAAAAGGAGGGATAGAGAGAAAAAGAGATAGAGGGAGGGGGTATAGAGAGAAAGAGAGCCTACAGGGATGATGCATGAGCAAATCCAGCACAAAACCAGAATAATGATATATCTCTTTCACATACAAATATTCCATAGCACACAGTTCATTGGAGATGCATACTCTCACTTTATCTCTCTATCTCTCTCTCTTGTCACCCCCCTCTCTCTCCTCCACACTCTCAGAACTGCAGATGCCTTGCTTCATCCTCCGTTTCTCTCTTATTTTTTCTCTCTCTCGTTCCACCTCTGTCTATTTCTCTCTCTTTCTCTCTCTCTGCACGCTCCTCGTAGTCTGTGAGCCACGTGCCAAGCTGCGCAGTACTGCAGCAGACATACACCAATACACATCCTCGCACACACACACCCATTGCAGCGTGGCTATGACACGGCTTCCTTCTCTGAGTCAGAGGAGCACCCCTCCTGGGTACGGCCTCTATCTATCATATCCGACTGTGTGTGCGTGTGCTTGTGCGTAGGACCTGTCTGTCTGTCTGTCAACACTATCCAGCCCAAGGACCAATACAGTGTTCTAGCTGTAGGGTTTAGCAGCAGGGTTGACCCCTGAGAGAGAGCTCCTCTGCAGCCAATGACCTGTGAAATAGCCATACGCTCCATGGGACAGAACACGCACACACGCATACACACTCACACACACAACCACCCACACACACACACACACAAATATACGCAGACTTATGCTCCAGTAAGCGCTGAGTGGATGACCTTGTCAGAGAGGAGGTGCATTCTGCATTGCATTTTGAGATAGAAGTAATAATCCATACATTATTTGTTTTGATTGGATCGTCTCTGCTCCTTAAATTGGCTAACACACACACACATACATACACACACACACTCTGCTGACGTCTGCAGTCTCAGTTGATAGATTAGATACAGTAGGTGATCAGGAACATTGAGCCTCTACAAGTCACTGAATGCATATCTCTCTTTCTCTCTGTCTCTGTCTCTGTCTATGTCTCTGTCTCTCTCTCTCTCTCTCTCTTTCTCTCTCTCTCTCTCTCTCTCTCTCTCTCTCTCCTCTCTCTCTCTCTCTCTCTCTCTCTCTCTCCTCTCTCTCTCTCTCTCTCTCTCTCTCCTCTCCTCTCTCTCTCTCCCTCTCGCTCTCTCCCCCCTCTCTCTCTCTCCCCTTTTCCCTCTTTTCAGCTCCTCCCCTCACTTCTCTCCTTTCCCCTCTCTTTCTCCCTCTATCTTCACTCCCTCTATCCCTCTCTTTCTTTCCCCTCTTCTTATCTAACCCTTATCCCATTTTCCCCCCTCTATCCCCCACTCCCGGCTTTACCTCTCCCTCTTTTTTATCATTTAACCATCACCTAACTCTCTTGACTCCCCTCTCTCTCCCTCTCTCTCCCTTTCTCCCCTCTCTCTTCCCTCTCTCTTTTTCTCCCTCTGTCTCCTCCTCCTCCGTCCTCTCTCTTCAAAACCTCCCTCTCTCTCTCTCTCCTCCCTCCCTCTCTCTCCCCTCTCTCTCGCTCTCCCTCCCCCCCTTCTCTCGTATCTCTCTCTCTTCTACTCTCCTCTCTCCTTCTCGCCTCCTCTCTCTCCCCTCTTTTCCTACTTCTCATCCAAATCCCTCTCCCTTTCCCTTTTTAAATGGCATTGATTTGGCTATGTATGAATGTTGAATTGAGCCAATAAAGATTGCCCCCCCCCCCCCTCTTTAATTGGCTAACACACACACACATCACTCTCTCTGTTCCCTGGTTGTAAAGGGTCATATACTCTGAAGGGGGAGGAAGGTAGTTAGTCATCAACAGTCACACACTAGCCAGCAGCACGTGAGGACACACACACACGCATGCGCATACACACCACACACCACACACGGGGGCGAGGAGAGAGGATTGCTGCAGTGCTCAGCTGATCCATGTCCCCGATGCCACGCCCCCCAGCCACTCACAAATAATACAAAAAAACACATGCACGTTCCATCAGGTGCATCACGTTTTTCTGTCCGTCATGTTATTCTGCAGTGTTAGCTGTAGCTGTCAGATTGAGGGGTCAGAGATGGCAGCTCACTGTACACAAGCCTGTGTGTGTGTGTGTGTGTGTGTGTGTGTGTGTGTGTGTGTGTGTGCGTGCGTGCGTGCGTGCGTGCGTGCGTGCGTGCGTGCGTGCGTGCGTGCGTGCGTGCGTGGGTGCGTGCGTGCGTGCGTGCGTGCTAGCTAGCGTGTGTACCCTGTTCCTACCCCAAACCCTTTGGCCCTCACACAGGCTAACCTTGAGCTCTAACGCACAAACACACTCACACACACACACTGGTGAATCCCCTCACAGAATCCCCTCTCACAGTATTGGACCCTATCTAATGAGCTGGTGGTAGCAACCTTGGCATGGTCTTATGTAGATTTTAACATATTATAGCGCTCTTATGAACTGCTGCAGTGCCACCACACTATCCCCCAATGTCACACTACGTCTTTCCCTCTCTCCGCTCCTCTCGTCTAGTTCCCTCCCATTTTCTCTCTTCCTCGCATCCTTTCTCATCCACTCGTTCTTACTCTTCTTTTTCGCTCATCACTCTCTGATAATTCATTTCTATTCATAGAAATGTACACACAGTCTATGCTCTCTATCCTCCTCTCTCTCTGATTCTTCACTCAATGTCTTCCTCTCTGTCTCTCTATTCTTTCCTCCATCTTTGTCTCCACCACACCCCTTCTCTCTCTTTCTTCCCTCCTCTCCTCTTCTCCTCCTCCTCGCTCTCCCTCTCTCTCTCTCTGCACCAGTTCTGCAGTATTCTGCCTTTGCTCCTTGGCAACCCCCTCCCCTGCTTCTCACTTCACACTGTAACTGTCCCAGACTGGTGCACCCACGGGACCCTTTTACCACACACACACACACACACACACACACACACACACACACACACACACACACACACACACACACACACACACACACACACACACACACACACACACACACACACACACACACACACACACACACACACACACACACACACACACACACACACACACACACACACACACACACACACACACACACACACTTACCTACATACATGACCCCCTCCTTGGTCTTGGCAGCTGCCCCCTCCACCCCAGCCTTGGTCTTCTCTGCTGCGGCCACCACCCCCTCCTTAGCCATGCTGAACCCTCTCATCAGTACATCCATCCTGGGATAGGTCTCTACTGGGCTCCCCTGCTCCGAAACGGGCCTGCTGGCTGGGCTGGTCACACAGAGTGTGTGAGAGAGACGGAGTGTGTATGTGTGTGTGTGTTTGTGTGTGTGTGAGAAAGAGACTGCGTGTGAGAGAGATTGTGTGTGTGTGTGTCAGGGACTCCTTCTCCAATAGCGCTGCAGAGAGAGAGATGTAGAGAGCGAAAGAAAGAGAGAGGACTGCACAGCAGGGCTACAGGATGCAGACTGAGAGAGAAGAGGAGAGAGCGACTGAGCGGAGAGAGAGAGAGGAGAGAGGAAGAGAGAAATAAAGAGAGAGCAGACGTGCGATGGAGAGAACGAGAGACAGAAAGACAGAACCTGCTGGATGCTGCAGCATATTTAAGTCACGCTGCAGCCAACCCCTCCCCCCCTCCCTCTTTCTCTCTCCTTCTCTCACTCACTCGCTCACACACGCAGACCGACCTCAAGCTGGCTGACTCCATATTTAATACGCAGGTGGCGCTGTCTGAGATACGTTTTACGTGATGAAACTGATAAAAAATACATTAGATGAATAAACAAATAGATTGGAGAGATTGTTGAGATTGCTGGGGGTTCTGAAAAGGGAATGAAATAATGAAATATTTATGATGATGCTGCAGTTATAATTGTCTGTTTACTATCGTATTATTAGCTGAAATCTACAGTGTGCTGTGACATCACCTCTGACCTCATTCAGCTTCCACTATGTTCCTTACACCAGGGTTTCCCAAATTTGGTCCTGCCCCACTTGATGATGAGTTGGTAATTTGAATCAGTTGTGTAGTGTTAGGGGCGGGGGCGGGGGGGGGGGACTGCCTTACACCAGTCCAATCAAAGAGGGTCCGGTCCAATCCTTTTAAATCAATGCAAGGGGGGTGAATGAGTGCACACTTTGGAGAGCAGAGGAGAGAAGCGGACCATAGCCATTAGCTTGGTCCGTTTCTTTCTCTCGGTGGTGTGACAAAATAATGACTCACCCCTGCACCCCCTCTTTGCCACACCCCCCCATGAGCTGTTCTCTTAAATCTATCTACATTCAACCCGCAGTATGTGTACGTGGTAGAGACACTCCCTCCAGTGACCATAATACACACTGCATCATGACACAGCAGATCCTTGGAATCGATTCCCCCCCGCCAAAATAAAGGACACTAAGGACTTTCACAGCCAAGTTAGAAGATGCAACATCATCACTTGTGCTCTGTCTCTCGCTTCCGCTTTCATCTCTTACACCCTTTTCTCCCTTTCTCCGCCTCATTATACAAAGTATTCAGACCCCTTGACCTTTTCCACATTTTGTTACGTTACAGACTTATTTTTAAATGGATGTAATTGTTTTTTCCCCTCATCAATCTACACACAATACCTCATAATGACAAAACAAAGCTCTGGAGCTCTGTCAGAGTGACCATCAGGTTCTTGGTCACCTCCTTGACCAACACCCTTCTTCCCCGATTGCTCAGTTTTGCTGGGCGCCCAGCTCTAGGAAGAGTCTTGGTGGTTCCAAACTTCTTCCATTTAAGAATGATGAAGGCCACTGGGTTCTTGGGGACCTTCAATGCTGCAGATATTTTTCAGTACCCTGCCCCAGATCTGTACCTCGACACAATCCTGTCTCGGAGCTCTACGGACAATTCCTTCAACCTCATGGCTTGGTTTTTGCTCTGACATGCACTGTCAACTGTGGGACCTTATATAGACAGATGTGTGTCTTTCTAAATCATGTCCAATCAATTTAGGTGGACTCCAATCAAGTTGTGGAAACATCTCAAGGATGATCAATGGAAACAGGATCCACCTGAGCTCAATTTCAAGTCTCATAGCAAAGGGTCTGAATACTTATGTAAATATGGTATTTCTGTTTTTTTTTAAACAAACTATTTTCGCTTTGTCATTATGGGGTATTGTGTATAGATTGATGAGGAATTGTATTTATTTAATCAATTGTAGAATAAGGCTGTAATGTAACAAAATATGCCGATTTGGCTCTCGCCTTCTGAAGGCGACTCAATTACCACCCCATCGACAGGGGGATTGTGCGATAAATATCCAGGTAGGCTTTGCACTTCCCTGGAGTCACGTGTATCCTCTGTCACAGGAAGAGACGGCTGCTATGGAAACATATGTCTCCGAATCTCTGGGACAGGGATACATTCAGCCTTCCACTTCACCTGTCTCCTCAAGTTTCTTTTTTGTGAAGAAGAAGGATGGAGGTTTACGCCCGTGCATTGACTACCGTGGTCTCAATCAGATCACTGTTAAGTATAGTTATTCACTACCTCTCATTGCTAGTATGACGGAGTCATTGCACGGGGCGCGCTTCTTCACCAAATTGGATCTCAGGAGTGTGTACAACCTGGTGCGTATCCGGGAGGGGGATGAGTGGAAGGCGGCATTTAGTACCACATCTGGGCACTATGAGTACCTCGTCATGCCGTACGGGTTGATGAATGCTCCATCAGTCTTCCAATTCTTTGTTGATGAGATTTTCAGGGACCTGCACGGACAGGGTGTAGTGGTGTATATAGATTACATTCTCATATACTCCGCTACACGAGCCGAGCATGTGTCCCTGATGCGCAAGGTGCTTGATCGACTGTTGGAACATGACCTGTACGTCAAGGCGGAGAAATGTCTGTTCTTTCAAAAGTCTGTCTCCTTCCTAGGGCACCACCTGTCCGCGTCAGGGGTGGAGATGGAGATTGACCACATTTTGGCCGTGCGTAATTGGCCGACTCCAACCACAGTTAAGGAGGTGCAGCGATTCTTAGGGTTTGCCAACTACTACCGGAGGTTTATCCGGGGCTTTGGTCAGGTAGCGGCTCCCATTACCTCCTTGCTGAAGGGGGGACCGGTGCAACTGCAGTGGTCAGCTGAGGCGGAGAGGGCTTTTGGTCACCTGAAGGACCTGTTTACCTCGGCTCCAGTGCTGGCTCATCCGGATCCCTCCTTGGCATTCACAGTAGAGGTGGACGCGTCCGAGGCTGGGATAGGAGCTGTACTGTCTCAGCGCTCGGGTACGCCACCAAAGCTCCGCCCCTGTGCGTTCTTTTCGAAGAAGCTCAGACCGGCGGAGCGCAACTATGATGTGGGGGACCGGGAGCTGTTAGCTGTGGTTAAGGCTCTGAAAGCGTGGACGGGGCTAAACACCCTTTCCTCATTTTGAATGACCACCGCAATCTGGAGTACATCCGGGCGGCGAGGAGACTGAACCCTCGCCAGGCAAGGTGGGCCATGTTTTTCACCCGTTTTGTGTTCACCCTTTCCTACAGATCAGGTTCCCAGAATGCTAAGGCAGACACTCTGTCCCGGCTGTATGACACAGAGGAGAGGTCCATGGAGCCCACTCCCATACTTCCGGCTTCGTGTCTGGTGGCACCGGTGGTGTGGGAGGTTGACGCGGACATCGAGCGGGCATTACGTACAGAGCCCACTCCCCCCCAGTGTCCAGAGGGTCGTATGTACGTGCCGTTAGATGTCCGCGATCGATTGATCTATTGGGCTCACACGTCACCCTCCTCTGGTCATCCTGGTATTGGTCGGACAGTGCACTGTCTTAGTGGGAAGTACTGGTGGCCCACTTTAGCTAAGGACGTGAGGGTTTATGTTTCCTCCTGCTCGGTGTGGGCCCAGTGTAAGGCACCTAGACACCTGCCCAGAGGGAAATTACAACCCCTACCCGTTCCACAACGGCCGTGGTCCCACCTATCAGTTGATTTCGTTTACGGACCTTCCCCCGTCACAAGGGAACACCACGATCCTGTTCGTTGTGGATCGGTTTCTAAGTCCTGCCATCTCATTGCTCTGCCCGGTCTCCCTACGGCCCTACAGACTGCGGAGGCCCTATTTACACACATCTTCCGGCACTACAGGGTGCCTAAGGATATAGTGTCTGATCGGGGTTCCCAGTTCACCTCAAGGGTCTCGAGGGCGTTCATGTAACGTCTGGGGGTCTCGGTCAGCCTTACCTCAGGGTTTCACCCCAAGAGTAATGGGCAGGTGGAAAGAGTAAACCAGGATGTGGGTAGGTTTCTGCGGTCCTATTGCCAGGACCGGCCGGGGGAGTGGTCGGTTTTCATCCCCTGGGCAGAGATGGCCCAAAACTCACTCCGCCACTCCTCCACTAACCTTACTCCATTCCAGTGTGTATTAGGTTATCAGCCGGTTCTGGCACCTTGGCATCAGAGCCAGATCGAAGCACCTGCGGTGGATGAATGGTTTCGGCACTCGGAGGAGACCTGGAACGCTGCCCATGTACGTCTGCAACTGGCCATCAGGCGACAAAAGGCGAGCGCCGACCGCCACCGCAGTAAGGCCCCGGTGTATGCACAGGGGGACCGGGTCTGGCTCTCGACCCGAAACCTGCCCCTTCGAATGCCCTGCCGGAAGCTGGGTCGGCGGTTTGTGGGACCATTTAAAGTCCTGAGGAGATTGAACAAGGTTTGTTATAGGTTACAGCTTCCTCCTGAGTATCGTATTAACCCCTCGTTCCATGTGTCTCTCCTCAGGCCGGTGGTAGTTGGTCCACTCCAGGAGTCTGAGGTACGGGAGGTTCCTCCGCCCCCACTGGACATCAAGGGGGCACCGGCGTACTCGGTCCGTTCCATCCTGGATTCGAGGCGTCGGGTGGGGGGCCTGCAGTATCTCGTGGAGTGGGAGGGGTACGGTCCGGAGGAACGGTGCTGGGTCCCTAGGAGGGACATCCTCGATCCCTCCATGTTGAGGGATTTCCACCGTCGTCATCCAAATCACCCTGCGCTGCGTTCTCCTGGCCGTCCCCGAGGCCGGTGTCGGCGCACGGCTGGAGCCGCGCGTCAAGGGGGGGGGGTACTGTCACGGATTCAGCCGAGGCTGCTCCTCCTCCTTGCTCGGGCAGGCTTCGGCGTTCGTCGTCACGGAGTACTAGCTGCTACCGATCTATGTTTCTGTGTTCTACTTGTTTTGTCTTCATTATACATACCTGGTTCCCATTATGTCTATGATTTGTTCCCTATTTAACCCTCTGGCTCCCACTGTGTTGTGTGCGTGTTTGTTCTATGTTTGGTGTTATCGACTGGTGAGTGGGATTGTCCTCCCTGCGTGGAGTTTGTTATTTACGAGTAAAGTACGTTGTCTACTAGCTCTGTGTCCTGCGCCTGACTCCGTCCTACCACTACACACTGACGCCTGACAGAGAGACACATGAGACACATGACCAACATTCACACAGGTCATTTGGGTTAAAGAAAATATTTATTCACCATGATAATAGTACATTTAAAATGTGTGGGTGTATGTGCATTTGTATGTATTTGTGTGTGCATGTTTGTTCATTGTTAGCATGCGTACATAGGTGTGTGCATGTGTGTGCGCGTGTGTGTTCGCAAGCGTGTGTTTACATGATCACTTTTACAATTTCTCTTAAATACTTTTTTGTACAGTTCCCTATCAGTTAGGAGAGACAGAACAACCAAAAAGAAAGAAAAACAAAAACCATTCCAAACATTCTAAAGATAAAGGATAGAGCTGATTAGAAGGGTGTCTCAGGGACATTGAGGATCTGAGCTGAGAGCCCGTTGTGCCAGTTCTTCAGCTTGCGGAAGCGAGGTCCTTTCACCTCCGACTCAAACTTATCCCTGGGAGAAAGACAGAGAGAGAGAGAGACGGAGGGTAACATATGTGTGTTTGTGTGTGTGTTTGCGTGTGTGTGTGTGTGTGTGTGCGCCTCACCTCGACCTCTGCAGGGCCTCTTCATCTGGGTCTTGCACTGAGGACAGAGAAGGGGGGGAAAGAGAAGAGAGGGAGAAGAGAGGTGAGGATACATAAAACATGAAGAGAAGAAATCTCTGAAGTACAGAGACAGAGAAGACAGGAGATGAAGAGGGATGGAGAGAGTAGAGAGAGAATAAGAGCTAGACAGAACAAGACAGGGAGAAAGAAGTCGTTGAGTAAAGGTGTACTGACTGTATTCGGTGCCGGTGAGGTGGGCCAGCATCTTGAAGCTCTTGGATTGCAGGTTGGCAGCCCGTCTGGCCCACTCGGCCATCTCCTCGTCTCTGTCATGTGGCTGGATCACAGCCTGGTAGACTGGAGACGCACTGTCAACCACCGGGTCCTTCATAGGCAGGGAACCACTGCAGGCAGGGGACATGATGTCAGTAACTAGTCCATAGATGCGGTAAAGAGGTCAATGGAACACAGACCGTAGGGGATAAAAGAAGGATATCGTATTGGGGCCCATTTAATAAATATGATCTAACAAAGTGGGAAAAGGGTTCTACCTGGAACCCAATAGGGTTCTACCTGGAACCCAAAAGGGTTCTTCAAAGCGTTATCCTATGGGAACAGCCGAAGAACCCTTTCCGGTTATAGATAGCACCTTTTTTTCTAAGAGTGTAGGCCTCTCCGGGAGGGTGGTTGGATGGGTTACACACACAAAAAGTAGGGTTCTATGTGGAACCATACTGACCCAAAGCACCCTTTGAGCTCTTCAATGGTTCTTTGCAGTTCAAAAAAGTGTTATTTCTTTTAGTGATCATTAAAATGAATATTTTGGGGCGTGGTTTGCTCAAAGCTCTTTGTGCAAACGTGAGTGAGAGTGTCATTCCAGTTGATCTAATCTGTTTCGTTATGCTAGGAGCCTCATCTAGTGTTTGGGGGGTTAGAACAGGAGGGGGAGACCAGTGATACTCAGAAAATTCCCTTTTATGTCATCAGACCAGAGTTAACCCCTGAATACATTCTGAAACAGCTTAGTTAACCCCTGAAACATCGTAGTTCACCTCTGAATGCAAGAAACTGGACACACAGACAATGAGACAGACACACAGAGAGAGAAATAGCTAGACACAAGGATAGAACCATGTGAAAAACACGAGAGCCATATGATATATGCAAATGTATCATGTGATGATATCATATGAGACAGATGTGAGTTTGATACTGTTTATTAGACTTACAGTATATAAGCCAAACATGAGCCCGATATTAGTTTATTACATGTTTATTACATATCATTTATGAGAGGAGATTGAGTAGGCGGTGAGTAAAGGGTGAGTCGGGGGTGATACTTACGCCAGGGGGGAGCCAGCAGGTACATCCTCACTGAGGTCAGATGATCAGAAGGGGGCGGGGTGGGGGTTTGGGGGTGGATGACACAACACAGGGTAGTTGATTGGTTGGTGGGTTGTGGATGAAGTGACGGAAGAAAGAAAGAAAAGAAAGAAAGAAAGAAAGAAAGAAAGAAAGAAAGAAAGAAAGAAAGAAAGAAAGAAAGAAAGAAAGAAAGAAAGAAAGAAAGAAAGAAAGAAAGAAAGAAAGATGGGATTGACACAGACGACAAGTGGGAGTGGAGAAATACAGCAGGACCCAGACAGAGTATCTGCCTCTTAACACAAAATGTATTCTTTGCATTGTGTGTGTGCTCTCCTACCCCTCATGGCCCTTGGACTGTGACTGTCCAGCAATAGCGTCCATGATGGCGTCCTGTGAGTACATGGATATGGGGGTGTTGTACTGAGCGTGAACGATGGTGGCCTTGCCTCCCGGGCCGCGTACCTCGATGGGCTTATGGGTAGACAGAGCTGAGTCCTTCAGAGCTATGGGGTTAAAGCTGGGCACATACTCCTGACTGGAGAGGGATATGGTCGGGGTAAAGGGTCAAGGGTCAGGGATAAAGGGTCATTTTGGGAGGGTTGGGAGGGTTTTGTGGGATGAAGGGGGCAGGTGGCAATAGGGATCCATATTTGGGTTCACAGGTTGTAAGGGAATCAGACGACCGGGCGGAGAGAGGGGAGAGAGGGAAAAAAGAAAGAGAGAAAAAAAGGTGGAGGGATGGTGAGAGGTGCAACAGGAGTAGGGCTAAGAGTTTCACTTACCTTCCTCCATCTGTGGACTCGCACACTGCACAGCACTACAAGGTATATACACACATATGATAAACGCAACTAATGATCATATAGCTTACTCCCTGTCTGTCTCACTCTAGTACATTTACATTACCACTGATTACATTGTACCTATCTGTCTCTTTAATACACTACCACGACCTGTCTGTCTCTCTTGTCCACTATATCTGATTGTATAGTACCTGTTTGTCTCTCTCATCACTCTCACACTATGAATGATTACATTGTACCTAGTCTCTCTCTATTATGGAAGCAGATTGAGGTGACTTCACTTTATTATTTATTTGATTTGAAATACATTGTCTATAGTGTCACCTCAGGACTAGTCAATTGAGCATAAGCCATGACTTCAAGAAAATACACATAATCACAAAGTGATCAAGAAATACAGACGAGCAAGGAAAACCAAATCAAGCCAGTACTAAACAGGCTGTAAGACACAAACACACGCTCCACTTTACACACTGTAAATTCCTAGTTAGTTATGATGCCTTATTAACACACATATAGTACCAATGCGCACATGCACACGTCAACACACACACATATATGTGCAGTACCATACGGAATATACTGTGAACGCATGTGTTAAATAAAAATGATCCATTGTTAAATAAAAACAATTTACACAGAGAATGTTAAATCAACACTGAAAGTGTGGAGTCTGTGGACCCATGTACACACTGGAACAGTGTTAAATTAACACACTGCTTAGTGTAAAGCCTTTTTCAAATATTTCCCAGAGTGCCTTTTGAGGAAATTGTAGAGTTACCACCTATAACTGTATTTGTTAGTGACAGAGACATGGTTGTTGCATTCATCAGTTTTTGCGATTATGTTATCATATTTTTGTATCTATTGAACGCAATACCATACGTATTTCATAAGGCCTTATTTTGAGGGCCTAGTTTTACCCTAATACAGGGGCCTGAACTAAGACCACACCCTTCATTATCCTATTTCCCAGCATGCTCTATTGCAGGTTGATTTTAGAATTGTTTGTTTCAATGTCTATGTTTGTGCATGTACATTGATTGATTAAGTCTGCCACATGGACACAGTACACTGGCAGGATGATTCTGACAAAGATGCTCAGAATAGACACTCCATCATCACCAGAGAATGGATCAATGCTCACACTATGGGCAAGATGCCATTCACAAAATACACGCAGCTAAGCATGCACACATATAAACTCTTAAACTTTGTTCATGCAAATTCTGTACATTCAGATGGTACTGACTTTCCAGCCGTGTTTGCAATAATCTGTAACAATATGAGAGAGAGAGAGAGAGAGAGAGAGAGAGCGAGAGAGAGAGAGAGAGAGAGAGAGAGAGAGAGAGAGAGAGAGATAAGGTAAGGTATTACCAGAGTGATAGTAAGGTAATAGTTATAGAGTCATTCTGTGTGTTATAATGGCAGTTGTGTGTCATCAACTGTGATATTTACCAGGATTCCCTGCGACCCAGCAGACTAACTGACAGGAGCAGGAGCTCAACAATCACATGACACACACACACGTACACAGACACTCACAGACATGCACAAGCGTACGCACACACACACTCAGACAGAAGAAGAAAAATAAGAATACTTTGTCTATTTTCTTGGAGAGACCAGAAATGTGTCTTTTTACTTTCAGCCCAAACCCCCGAGATACACACACTCCACAAATTGTTGGAGCTTATGGGTTATGTGCTGAATATAGAGATGGATCTATTCCGGGACACTGTGTATGTGTATGTGTGATACTGTATGAGAGGGGGGTTTGGGATCCACTGTAACCCGAGTGGAACATACCAGCGCGGCGAGGAGCAGCTGTTCACGTGTTTGTGTGTGAGCTCACAAAAAGAGGGTCGCCTGTACTGAACCAGGGTACTGCGTGAGACTAAGGTCACGTTTACTGGACACGTTTACCGTATTCTGATCAGCATATCTACCTAACTTCACCCCCCAGCCCAGCTGAGTTTAGCAAATAACTGATGAAGTGACAGGGATGCTCCCTCAAAGGCAATCAACTCCTAACAGCTAAAGCACCTGTCGTCAGCGGAATGACTGTAGTCGTCATGTACACAGCCACAGAGTGTGGTGCAGTATTACCTGGAGACAGTCCAGGTGTGTGTCAGAGCGCGCACGTTACCACCTAGGGCGACGAGTGCGCATGTGAGCCAGGGGAATGTGTTCCAGGATAATCACGGAATGTTCTGAGTATTCTTGATCACCGTCCTGTTTAACGTGCACACTTGGGGGCAGGGATGTATGATACACCCCCCACGGCTCATACCCTAAGTTGTCCTAGAATGGAGATAGCCAGGGGAGGGGATGGGGCAGGAAGAGAGTGAGGAGGAAAATAAAAAATTGGGGTAGTACAACAAGGCCTTAGTTCCAGTAGGTCCAGTGGTTGGGAGAGGAGGGAGTGTTTTGTTTCCTAGTTAGTGTGGATGTTTTGTTGGGAACTCAGTGAGGCTCTGGTCAACAGAAGTGCACTATAAAGGGAACACGTGGCCAAAATCAGTGCACTATACAGGGAACAGGGTGCCATTTCAGATATGCCCCCAGGCTACCTACCCTAGGAATGGCACTCCGCTGTCCGCCCCCTCTCCTCCCAGCCTGGCGGCCCCTGCCCCATCTCCTGCAACCTTGCCTTGCAGCAGGGCCATCTCTCTAAGAGTGTGTGCAGAGTACAGGCTGATGGGGGAGTTATACTGTCCCTTCTGGTTCGAGAGAGACACTGCAGCGGCAGAGGAGGGGGGAAGGAGAGGAGAGGGTGTACGGGGGGCAGGGGTCGGCTCAACAGGCTTTTTAGACAATAGTCTCCCAAACTTCTTCACCTCCACCTCGTCTTTTTCTTCTACTTCTTTTTTAACATGATCACCCTCCTTAGTGACAAGAGAGGTAGAGTGAGGGACTCAGAAAAACATAGAGATGGGGGAGAAAAGGAGAGAAAGAATAAATAAAGAGGATTGATGAGGAATGAGGAAAAAGATAGATAGATAGGGGTGGTGTATCCTCTTCACTATTTGGCCCAGGGGAGAACGACTGCCCCCTATCATTGAAGCCGTGGAAGTTCAAGGCTGACCGCGGTACTGCAGGCATTGTTAGCAGAAAACAGGATCCCCATTATAGTGAATGGAAAAATGGCAATCTTTGTGTAAATCGAATCATGGTACCAATAAACGCTTCTAATACACCAGATGTATGTCCTTGAACTAATTCCCTAAGGTCCAAGGGCCCGGGGCTGGGTTTCTACTAAGCTAACATATGGAATTGTTTTAAGATGGTAATAACAAGGATCATTTAGCTATTTGATTTTGAATTTTATTACCCCTGTAGGTATCAAAAAATATATATATGTAAAAAAAATATTTGATAAAACATGGAATTTAATTTACTGCAATTAGCCAATAGAAACACATTGAATAACATATTCATACATGGCAAACAGATAGTCATAACATTTATAAAAAGGAAGTCTGTTTTGAAGTGTCTATCCTATATCTGAGAGATATAAGAAAGCTCAGGAAATAATGTTTCTTTTTTTTTTACCCATATTTAAGCATTTTCTTGCACTAAAGTACTTCCATATGTACTTCCAATCATTTTTAAACTGGTACCGGGTTACCTTCAGACGAGTTACCTTCAGACAGAAGTTGACACATTGGCGGTACTGACTTCAGACGAGTCCCCGGAAGCTTGTGGCATTCGGACACCATAGGCTCGTCAGAAGATCGATTTCGGGATGTCTCCTGATCTAGTAGCTCTACCACCTTTCACCCCAGATGTGGAAGCCTGACATCGGCGGATGCGGTGGATTGAGATGCAGCCCAAGCAAAAATATATATCTCTAGCTTAAACAGGTGGATTTTGATGGGGATTTTTTTATTATACTAATTCGATTTCTGCGGGGGCGCAGATATCGACTCTAGGGGTTTTAAATAACACACAGAAGAAGTCATTAGGATAATTGAGTTGCTAATGGAGGCCTGCAGTACCCCAGTTGGCCTTCAACTTGAGTTACTCAATGAGAGGGAGTAGCTTTGAGCTAGCGTGCGACGTCACTTCCTGGAGTAACTCAAACTGCTCATGTTATGTCTCCATGAGACGGCATCTTAACCAATTTTATTTGGCTTCAATGCGCTTTTCAGTCTTCACATAGGAATGAATGGTGTCACATGATCGATGGCTTTGTCCATTTATATATGGTCATTGATTTGGCCAGAGCTTGATCCTCTGCTCTTTAATATGGAAGCTGCAGCTGAAATAGAAACACTAGAGGGCGCCAACACACAGCCTTCGAGTCTTCACTTGATCCCACACGTGCACACACGCACAGACACACAAATGCCGAAACTTTTTACCTTCTGGTGAGGAATAACTGACATGGGGGAGTCCATTCTGGGTGTTGCCATGGGAACAGGGGCAGGACGTTTCGACCTGGGTGCAGAGCAACAACAACAGACTTTTACATGTGTAAGTAGTTTTACATGTGTTATGTAGTTTTGCATGTTATCTTCTAAGTATTTTAAGAGTGTGTGTGTGTGTGTGTGTGTGTCTGTGTATGTGTGTGTGTAAGTGTGTGCGTCTATACGTGCATGCGTGCGCGCCCATGTGTATGTGTGCGTGCGTGCCTGTGTGTGTGTGTATGTTTACTTCTGCATGGTGAGGGCCAGTTTATTGGAGGCCATCTTAATCTTGTTCTGTGCCTCCAGGTGTGTCATGCCTTCCGTACTAAGGCCGTCTATTGATGTGATGATGTCACCCTGGACTAGACTGCCCCCTGCAGCCTTACTGCCTGGAGTTGTCTAGAGGGGGAGAGAGAAAGCAGAAGAAGAAGAAGAGTTAGGAGGAGAGGAGGAAGGGAGCGAGACAGAGGGGAGGGAAGGAGAGGAAGAGGAAGAGTGGAAGAAAGGGAAGGAGAGGAAGAAGGGAGAGAGAGAGAGAATGAAGAGGGAGAGAGAGAGAAAGCCCCACTGAGCAAAGAAGTCAATTCAACGTCTATTCCACATTGGTTCAACGTCATTTCCTTCAAATGATGTGGAAACAACGCTGATTCAACCAGTGTGTGCCCAGTGGGGAGAGAGAAAGAGAGAGAGAGGGTAACAGAGGCAGAGTTATGTAAGAGAAACTGACATAGATACTTCTGCTCAAATACACACACACATAAAATCTGAGAGAAATAAGCTTTTTAGCGTATGGAAGATTTCTGGGATTTTTTATTGCAGCTCATGAAACACGGGACCAACATTTTACATGTTCCGTTTATATTTTTGTTCAGTATATAAGGTAGATAGATATTCAGAGTGTGATAATCTAAGGTAGATAATCCTAGTGTCGGTCAGGTTATCTGTTGTCATTCAAACCAGTCAGATAAACTAGTGTCTAATTGATAATCAGCTGTAGGGATCACACTGGGACACACCAGGATGGATCAACATTTATTAACACTCATACAGAATAGTGTCAGATCAACGTCTTAACAGAACTCAACTGTCTATCTGTCACGTTCCACAGGATACACCTCAATGAGTCAAGATGCTCACTCAACAAAAGAAACACAGCTTTCTAACACACCAATCACAACAGCAGGAGTCAGATCAGTGGTCGAAGTGGACTGATGCTGACCGATACAGAAAATTGGTACTTCTCGTTTTCTACTTCTTGAGTATACTATACTCCTCTAAAAAAAAAAAAAAAAAAAACTGTTATCCCAAACAGTTTTATTGAAATGAGCACCATTTTCAAACCCAACTTTGAAGTGGTATGACCGGGCCGTGATAGAACAGCAGCTAGAGAAAACTAGCAGAAAACACTGATCTGAACTAACTTCCTCATTAAAAGAAACACCACAGAGAAAAGCTTTGATAGAAACACCTAATGAGCAGTACAGACTACAGAGTTGTTGTAAAGGATGTCAAGCTGCTTGCTTAGCAAGTGCCACTTCCTCCTGATTCAGCTCATACAGAGACTCGAATTCAGGGCACACGCAACCGCCCTCCTGAAGCGTTCCAACACAGGACACACGCAACCGCCCTCCTGAAGCGTTCCAACACAGGACACACGCAACCGCCCTCCTGAAGCGTTCCAACACAGGACACACGCAACCGCCCTCCTGAAGCGTTCCGCCCTCCTGAAGCGTTCCAACACAGGACACACGCAACCGCCCTCCTGAAGCGTTCCAACACAGGACACACGCAACCGCCCTCCTGAAGCGTTCCAACACAGGGCACACGCAACCGCCCTCCTGAAGCGTTCCAACACAGGACACACGCAATCGCCCTCCTGAAGCGTTCCAACACAGGGCACACGCGACCGCCCTCCTGAAGCGTTCCGCCCTCCTGAAGCGTTCCAACACAGGACACATGCGACCGCCCAAGGGACGACACTTCAGGCTGAGGAGTGAGTTTCACAAATCCCCATCTGCTACATTTGCAGAGTTAGATGGATGCACAACAGTCTCTGTACAGCTCTTAGCGCAGAGTTAGTAGGTCTGGGGGCTAGGGAGTACTGGGGGACTAGGGAGTACTGGGGGACTAGGGATTACTGGGGGACTAGGGATTACTGGGGGACTAGGGATTACTGGGGGACTAGGGAGTCAGAGGTAGAGTAGGGGCTGGGGCTGGGGTACGAGGCTGAGGTAAGGGGTGGACTGAGGACTGGGGCTTGGACAGAGATGCAGGGCTGGGGACTGGGATAGAGGCTAGGCTTACAGGCAGCTCATTAAAGAGATAAAAATAAAGAGTGCTGTTGATGTTCACTCTGTTTAACCTAACTGCCCCAACTACCTGCTAGTGCCACTCAAACCCGCCTTCTCTATCTATCTCCCTTCCTTCCTCTATCTCTTTTTGCCCCTCCCTCTCTTTTTTCCTCTTTCTCCTCAGTGATGCCTTCTGCCTTTGTTCATTCATTTATTCAGCCTGCATCCGCATTTGTGTGTGTGTGTAATTGTTCGATTGATTCAGCATGACTTCACAGCAGCACCATTTTTCTCTCCTTAACAGCATCTGCTCTTTTCACATTTCACCACCCTGCTCTGCTTATGCTGAATCCACTACACACACCACACACACATGCACTGCATCCATCAGAACACACTTTCGGACAAATCACAACAATGTATTCCCTTCTCTCTGGAGAACATGGAAATTCAGACCCAGAACTCTCACACCCAGAACAGATATGTTTAATACATACTCTGTTAGATGTGCACACCATCAGAATGAATCAGATCAAGATTGGGCCAACAACAAAAGCGTAAACAATGGAGCAAATACCCTCCATAACATTTTCACATTTAACTAGCATGGCTTTCTATGATACAATTCGTGGTAGTTAAGGGGATGACATTCATTGCTTCTACAATGCTGGTCTGATAAGATCAGAGTTAGGAAACATGATATCTTTAACGCTCATCTACCGAATCTCTTTGCTGCATAGAAATGTCCATATAGTTAGCCCAGACTGTGAATGCCATCCTCAGTATGAGAGCAGAATAGAATAGTACTTTATTAGTCAGCCGAGACTGATATTCTTTCTCTGCTTCCAACTCTCAGCCTGATGATGATAGATCAGCTCTACCTGTCAGCCAGCCATGATCACTTCCAGTGAACCCTCAGCTTTAGTCGTCACTCCCTTCAATGGTTCTGTTCGATTAGACAGAACCGCCACGTGACCGGAAAAAAAACGGTGAATAGGCCTAACTCTATCCTCCGGTCAAAATCACAAGACACTATCTGCATTGAGACAATGACTTATCAATGACCCAAGCCCTGCTCATTTAATCCCTACCATTGTGTCGCTGAGTTGTCATAATGCTTCAGCAAATGTACATTATCCCAGGGGCGCTGGAAGACACAACGTAAGTAACCTTTATGTCCCTCTTACTGCCCTGAATGCCTCTGCTGATCCTACAGCTATTATATGCAGCAATCATGTGCAAATGAACCAGAGTTATACTGTTAGCACTGAGGTGGTGTGCCCTAGCAGGAAGTCCACTGTGTGCAGCTCACCCTGCACTAACATAAATAACCTGAGCACCTCCACTAAACTTCCCAGTAAAGCAATAAAAAAATAAAAAATAATAATATGCCATTTAGCAGACGCTTTTATCCAAAGCGACTTACAGTCATGCGTGCATACATTTTTGTGTATGGGTGGTCCCGGGGATCGAACCCACTACCTTGGCGTTACAAGCGCCGTGCTCTACCAGCTGAGCTAGCTACAGAGGACCACAAAACAATCAAGCATCCCAGAAAAATTCTAAAAATAGCCTACGTTAACATGTAGCTTAAGAAACAAGGTTCATGGTATCAATAATTTGCTAGTAACAGATGACATTCATATTGTGACAATCTCTGAAACTCACTTAGATAATACCTTTGATGATACAGTGGTAGCAATACATGGTTATAAGAGCTACAAAAAATAAAGCTAAGAGAAGATCTCATGTTAAATACTGTTGAAGTAATATGGCTACAGGTTAATCTGCCTCACCTAAAGCACACTCTGGTGGGAAGCTGCTATAGACCACCAAGTGCTAACAGTCAGTATCTGGATAACATGTGTGAAATGCTTGATAATGTATGTGATATCAACAGAGAGGTATATTTTCTGGGTGATTTAAATATTGACTGGCTTTCATCAGGCTGCCCACTCAAGAGAAAGCTTCAAACTGTAACCAGTGCCTGCAACCTGGTTCAGGTTACAGTCAACCTACCAGGGTAGTTACAAACAGTACAGGAATGAAATCATGAACATGTATTGATCACATCTGTTACGAACCCCGTGGCTTTAAAAGTCTAGGGTGGATGGAAAAGAGGCCCGTAACATAACTCATGCAAATTAGGCTATTGCCAAGGAACAGTGAGAACAAAATACGCCGATAACCAAACGCTACCGTCAAACACAAAATGTTTATTATAAAACACACGGTAAATGGTTTGGGGAAAAGGGGCTGAGCTGGACCCAAGGAATAAAACAATAAAGTCAAAAAACCCTAAACTGATCTTGCCTGCCTCAAGAACTACTAAGCTTACTGCTAAGTAAATACATACAAAAATACAGTGGGTGGTCTGCTCAGGTCTAACTAGTGTGTTTAGACAAGGTTTTCCTACGGGTAGTGTATGCCCAAGGGCGACTTGCTAAATCCCCCTTTTCCCAGGCACAAACAAACAATATAGGTACCATACGGACTAAACAGTTAACGAGTGAGTACACAAAAACAAGACACCACCGTATACATACTCACAAACAAAAAGAGTCTCTGTCAGCAAACACAACTGACTAGCTTTTAAAACAAGGGGATGTGCGATCTGATTGGATAAGAAAACAGAAACAGGTGGTGCAATCAGGAGAACTGTCCACTGATTGGTCCACCTCAGCAATCAGCAGATTAACTGATGACTGACAGGTGGGACACCCCAACGACCTCCAATCAGGAACACAAAGGACACCTGTGATTAGGGCAGAAGGAGAGGAAAAACACAAAAACACATACAGGATACCTGTATCCGTAACAACATCTTTACTAATGCTGCAGAAATTAGCTTGAAAGCAGTATCCAAATCCATTGGATGTAGTGATCACAATATAGTAGCCATATCTAGGAAAACCAAAATTCCAAAGGCTGGGCCTAATATAGTGTATAAGAGGTCATACAATAAGTTTTGTAGCGATTCCTATGTTGTTGATGTAAAGAATATGTGTTGGTCCGTGGTGTGTAATGAGAACCAACCAGATGCTGCACTTGACACATTTATGAAATTGCTTATCCCAGTTACTAATAAGCAAGCACCCATTAAGACAATGACTGTAAAAACTGTTAAATCCCCGTGGATTGATGAGGAATTAAAAAATGGTATGGTTGAGAGGGATGAGGCAAAATAAATGGCAAATAAGTCTGGCTGCACAACCGATTGGCAAATGTACTGCAAATTGAGAAATCATGTGACTAAACTGAATAAAAAGAAGAAGAAAATACACTATGATATAAGAATGATAGTAAAAAGCTTTGGAGCACCTTAAATGAAATTTTGTGCAAAAAGGCAAACTCCGCTCCATCATTCATTGAATCAGATGGCTCATTCATCGCAAAACCCACTGATATTGCCAACTACTTTAATGATTTTTTCATTGGCAAGATTAGCAAATTTAGGCATGACATGCCAGCAACAAACGCTGACACTACACATCCAAGTATATCTGACCAAATTATGAAAGACAAGCATTGTAATTTTGAATTCCGTAAAGTGAGTGTGGAAGAGGTGAAAAAAGTATTGTTGTCTATCAACAATGACAAGCCACAGGGGTCTGACAACTTGGATGGAAAATTACTGAGGATAATAGCGGACGATATTGCCACTCCTATTTGCCATATCTTCAATTTAAGCCTACTAGAAAGTGTGTGCCTTCAGGACTGGAGGGAAGCAAAAGTAATTCCCCTACCTAAGAATGGTAAAAGCCCCTTTACTGGCTCAAATAGCCGACCAATCAGCCTGTTACTAACCCTTAGTAAACCTTTGGAAAAAATGGTGTTTGACAAGATACAATAATATTTTACAGTAAACAAATTGACAACAGACTTTCAGCACACTTATAGGGAAAGACATTCAACATATAGGCCTCCTGGGCTGCACCACTTTCTGTGCTTTTTTTTCTTTTTTCTCACTTGCTATGTTTTGTGTCTTTTATTCTTGAATGGTTTTTAAAGTAATTTGTTGGTACAACTTAAAATAACAAAGTTATGGAAAGAATCATGCTCTAAAAGAAATGTTTTGAAAACTGTTCCTTTGTTGTCTGCCTCTACTTCATGTTGCCTGCTCAACCCAGATTTGAAAAATCTGTCACTTTCCCCCTCATGACAGAAACAGAAACAGTCAAGGAGAAACTGGGAAAGTGAGTGTGATCCTCTGTTCACAACAAAACTTCGTGCTCCAGAAGCCATCATGTTCATCAACACCAACACTAGGACAACTCCACTTCAGGTTTCAGGGAAGGTAAAATCTCACAATGGGCTAGCACTCACTAGCTGGCGATTTAGCTAGCTCTGTACCTCACATCTGCTAAATCATTACAGTAATGAGGAGAGATCAGACTATCCAGAGATCACACTCTCTCCTCATACAGCTTCAGGTAGCTGCTGCAGACTACAGACAGAGTTGAGATGACTGGGAGTTCACAGCTCCAAAGCAGACAGCAGGTCGGAGAAATTGGGCCAACCATTATGTACCTTTGTTTTTCTCCAGACCTGACCAGAGGTAGTAAGAAGACCAGAGATGGACAAAGGGAGGAGAGGGTGACAACAGAGGATTTCTTTAGGGACACACTTGGCATCTGAGAGGCCCAGCAGGATGCTTTAGGTAACACACAGCTTTTCATATGATCGCACCTCTCCTCCTCTCTCTCCCTCTCTGATGCGCTCTCCCTTGTCATCCTTCTTTCCTCCCCCTACTGCTATTTGCTATTTCCATATCCACTTGAAATACATCATAGTAGCTGCCAAGTGCAACAACACACACCACAACACACAACTACAGCAACAGGTCTAGATAGAAAGAGGGGGGGGGGGGGGGGGGGGGGGGTGATAACGAAGGAGAGAGAGAGGGGTGTGATAGATAGGGAGAGAAGTGTATTCTAGAACTCTTGCTGGCAGGTCATTCCTCACCCCTCGTCATCTGTCATCAATCATTACATCATTACATAAGACACACTTACACGCACGCACACACGTTTAGCACACACACACACACCCATACACACCAATGAACCATAAGCACTATTTCTCTAACACAGGAAAAGCTTTAAGTGTGTAGTGTCTTACCCTGGAGACGGTAAGTGGCATATTGAAGTCTTTTCCTCCTTGTAGTCTGAAACCCCATGGTGCGGAGCCATTGAGAGTTACTGTGTACGTAGCCATCTTCAGCTTTGGATAAAACACACACACACACTGCTTTCTTTCCTCCTGAAACCGCTTTTCTCTTTTTACTTGTTTCCTCTTGCACTCGTTTTCTGATTCCCTTCCTTCAGTCTCGTTCTTGAGTTCTCTCCCTGTTATTTCCCAACGGTTGGGACAAACACCGGATAGGGGGAGGGAGGGGCAGGCGCTGAGGAGCTTCTGATACACACACACGCAAACACAGGTGTGAAAAACACACACGTATGCACACACACACACACACACACTCACCTACACACACTCCAAACTAATTCAACCTAAAACCACACAACAGCTAGTCTAGTCTACACCTAACACTGAAAACCTGAATAAAGCGTTTAAATGTGTATAGAAACGTTGTCGTAGAGGTCTTGCCTTAGTTGAGGGTGAGGGACAGACGGGACAAGAATAGCTGAGTGGAGCAGAGACGAAGACAGGGATGGATGGCACAGGGGCCTTATAAGGCATGTAATCCTACCCCCAGCATGCCTCACTCTGATCACCCTGCATTACTCACACATGCAGATATAGACTCCTCTTAGCCCCACACATTCTCCCCTCGCTCTACCTCAATCTGTCCCTCTCATCAATCAATTCCTCTCTCTCTGTTTTTTTATGTCTGTTTTGCTGTGATCTCACCTTCTCAATGTGTCACAATATCCTTTTGCGTCACCTTTTCATTCCTTGACTCGCTCTTTCTATCACTCTCTCTTTCTATTTCTCTCTCTCTTTCTCTCTGCGTTATCTCTCCCAGCTCTCTAAGGGGAAGCAACACATTACTGAAACTTGATGTCTGATTCCCTAGAAACACCTCTACCAGGAGACAGGCACCATGATCAACAAGATGATAAAGAATCAGCTTTTTTAGCACCTTTTGACAGTTCAGTATGTTAGGACATTCAACTATTACATTTCTAAATTTACATGTTGGATTACTGTACATGCCTTTTTTTTGTTTTTGTTTTTAAGGTGAAAAAGGGTAGGTCTTGAAATGCATTGGCATTTATGGGTATATTTTCCCATTCTTAATCAACTAATATTGCAGCTTAATTACTTTAAATAGGTTTTACCATTATGATAGCATTGTGCCACCAGTAGGATTAGTAACACCAAAGATCGTAACACCAATGACACGTTGTAGGTTATTGAGGATTTTCATAAATGGAGGCCACAGATGCTCAAATCTAAGGTCATTAACCCTTTTAAAATGATTGATCATGAAGTAATATGATTAATAATTTTGCTCACAATGTAATTCATTCATTTAAACATTTAAATTTCATTTAAACAGAGTAACACCAATGACACTTGTTATTTAGACACACCAAATTAACAATAGGATCCTCAAATTGATGACACACAAAAAGGGTGTGATTAGCTAATAATATTATGTAATATAGACCCTCCCCCGATTACAGTTTCCACTGGTGTGAATGCTCAAGGTCCTTGTATATCTTTGTAATGAATTATTTTTCAAGGCAGTACCACCAATTACATAAAACTTAGCGACACATTATATTTGTAATAAAAAAAAATCTATACTTTCTAGCATTCAAAATAATACACTGCTCAAAAAAATAAAGGGAACACTTAAACAACACAATGTAACTCCAAGTCAATCACACTTCTGTGAAATCAAACTGTCCACTTAGGAAGCAACACTGATTGACAATACATTTCACATGCTGTTATGCAAATGGAATAGACAACAGGTAGAAATTATAGTGTCCAGAGCATGGAGGTGCTACCAGGAGACAGGTCAGTACATCAGGAGACGTGGAGGAGGCCGTAGGAGGGCAACAACCCAGCAGCAGGACTGCTATCTCCGCCTTTGTGCAAGGAGGAGCAGGAGGAGCACTGCCAGAGCCCTGCAAAATGACCTCCAGCAGGCCACAAATGTGCATGTGTCTGCTCAAACGGTCAGAAACAGACTCCATGAAGGTGGTATGAGGGCTTACAGCCCAACACCGTGCAGGACGTTTGGCATTTGCCAGAGAACACCAAGATTGGCAAATTCGCCACTGGCCCCCTGTGCTCTTCACAGATGAAAGCAGGTTCACACTGAGCACATGTGACAGACGTGACAGAGTCTGGAGACGCCGTGGAGAACGTTCTGCTGCCTGCAACATCCTCCAGCATGACCGGTTTGGCGGTGGGTCAGTCATGGTGTGGGGTGGCATTTCTTTGGGGGGCCGCACAGCCCTCCATGTGCTCGCCAGAGGTAGCCTGACTGCCATTAGGTACCGAGATGAGATCCTCAGACCCCTTGTGAGACAATGCTAGACCATGCTAGACCTCATGTGGCTGGAGTGTGTCAGCAGTTCCTGCAAGAGGAAGGCATTGATGCTATGGACCGCCCGTTCCCCAGACCTGAATCCAATTGAGCACATCTGGGACATCATGTCTCGCTCCATCCACCAACGCCACGTTGCACCACAGACTGTCCAGGAGTTGGCGGATGCTTTAGTCCAGGTCTGGGAGGAGATCCCTCAGGAGACCATCCGCCACCTCATCAGGAGCATGCCCAGGCATTGTAGGGAGGTCATACAGGCACGTGGAGGCCACACACACTACTGAGCCTCATTTTGACTTGTTTTAAGGACATTACATCAAAGTTGGATCAGCCTGTAGTGTGATTTTCACTTTAATTTTGAGGGTGACTCCAAATCCAGACCTCCATGGGTTGATACATTTGATTTCCATTGATAATTTTTGTGTGATTTTGTTGTCAGCACATTCAACTATGTAAAGAAAAAAGTATTTAATAAGATTATTTCATTCATTCAGATCTAGGATGTGTTATTTTAGTGTTCCCTTTATTTTTTTGAGCAGTGTAGATATCTCTAAATCTGTCACTACAACTCTGCTCATCACTAGTGGGACAAGCCAATTTGCTTGCCCTGAGTACTTTGGAATTATAGTGTTTCACAGTATTACTTACCCGCCAGTGTTGTGATTGGCTGTGATATTTGCCTATTGATTTCTCCCACCGGAGCGGCATCTGTCAAAATGGCAAAGCTGTTCTGACTTTGTGGCTGGGTAATCTAGTGGAAATCACTCTAACATTTCCTGGTTGCTAAAATTCTACACTGTTCGCTCAATTTCAATTTATGTGAGAAAACAAGCACTGAATAGTGCAGGGAATCATTGTACCATCTAAATCACTGTGATTTTACAGTTGTTTGAAGCTGGTGGACCAAAACCGCTGTTTGAAGCTTGAAACAGCTCTAAAAACAATATTTTTAGTTAATGAAAATATACTTCACAGCGATTTAGATGGAACAATGATTCCCTACACTATTCAGGAAATGACATGTGTCATCAATCCTATGTGTAGCACCTTTAAGGTGAACACATACACAATGGAAAGTGCATATCTCTCTGCTGTGGCAGAAAGCATTACACACACACAATTATGGTACAAGAGAGAGAGAGATTTTTACACCAGAAAGATAATTTCAATCATAGAGTCGACGCGCAGCAGAGAAATACACTGTCACAAATAGCACCCTGTTCCCTACATAGGGCTCTTGTTAAAAGTAGTGCACTAGGGAATAGGGTGCCATTTAGGATGCAGAAGTATCACAGAAAAATTAACGTTCAGAAAAAACAGTGTAGCTCAAATGTTGTGGATTGTTATGTGTTGCATAAGGGCTCTGATGTGTGCACATGCACACATGTACGCTGGCACACATAAAAACAGTTAATTGGGGCAGGGCCATGTATGGTGCCAAAATGATTCACATAATTGAGTACACACACACATCATATCACATACACTCTCATACACTTACAATATCTGTATTATCTTATCAATATGGTGCTGTCTGGGGCACTGGGTTAAGGCCATATACAGTAAAAACATCTCCCCTAACCTTTCCCTAACCAGATGCACGCACGCACGCACGCACGCACGCAGGCACGCACGCACGCAGGCACACACACACACACACTGTTAGGTGACAGTTCTGAATGGTGATAGGCAATAGACAATGACCCATTAGATAGTGCCAGCTGTTTGAACTGTTGTGGTCTCAGCCTCAGTTCAGTCATTCAGGACCAGAGGGACAGGAGGGAGATTCTGCCATTCTCCCTTGAAATGTAGAACGGTAAAAAAAGAAAAATATGGTAAAAAACCCCGCCCTCGATCCCATAATAATACCAACACAATGCCTTTAATTCCATGAGGGGTAGCGAAATTGTGTACACTTCAGGGAGAAAGGGGAGAAATGCAATAGCTGTGACACTCTGGCTCCGGGACTTTTGTATTTGAGCCAGGGTGTATTTGTTTTGTTGGGTTTTGTTGTGGGGTTTGTTGTATAGGGTGTATTCGGTTGGTTGTGTTTTGGGTGAGTTTATTGTGGTGTCGTGTGACTCCCAATCGGAGGTAACGAGTGTCAGCTGTCGGCTCGTTATCTCTGATTGGGAGCCATATTTAAACTATTTGTGTTCTCATGAGGGTTGTGGGTTTTTGTTCCGTTTCGGTTAGTTAACCGTGGACTTCATGAGTCGTCTTTTGTTTTGTATTTTGTGCGTAATCTATTAAAGTCATGTTCGCCACAAACGCTGCGCTTTGGTCCGCTTCCTTTCAAGACGGCCGTGACAGAAAAACCCACCATAAAAGGACCAAGCAGCGTGTCAAGCGGCAACAGGATTTATGGACGCCTATCAAGGATTCATGGACATGGGAGGAGATACTGGATGGAAGGGGTCCTTGGGCACAACCGGGAGAATATCGCCGCCCTCGTGAAGAGCTGGAGGCAGCTAAAGCCGAGAGGAGGTGGTATGAGGAGGCAGCACGGAGTCGAGGCTGGAAGCCCGTGGGTACTACCCAAAAATTTCTTGGGGGGGGGCTAAAAGGGAGTGTGGCGAAGTCAGGTAGGAGACCTGCGCCTACTCCCTGGACTGACCGTGGAGAGCGAGAGTACGGGCAGACACCGTGTTACGCAGTAGAGCGCATGGTGTCTCCTGTACGCAGGCATAGCCCGGTTCGGTACATTTCAGCTCCACGTATCGGCCGGGTTAGAGTGAGCATTGAGCCAGATGTCATGAAGCCGGCCCAACGCATCCGGCTACCAGTGCGTCTTCTCGGGCCGGCGTACATGGCACCAGCCTTACGCATGGTGTTCCCGGTTAGCCCACATAGGCCGGTGCGGGTTATTCCACCTCCCCGTACTGGTCGGGCGACGGGGAGCATCAACCCGGGTAAGGTTGGGCAGGCTCAGTGCTCAAGGGGGCCAGTAAGCCTGCACGGTCCGGTATTTCCGGCGCCACCTCCCCGCTCCAGCCCAGTACCACCAGTGCCTACACCACGCACTAGGCTTCCTGTAAGTCTGCAGAGCCCTGTGTCTCCTCCACGCACTAGCTGTATGGTGCGTGTCTCCAGCCTTCTCCCACCAGTGCCTACACCACGCACCAAGCCTCCTGTGTGTCCCCCGAGTCCTGTGCGTCCTGTTGCTGCTCTCCGCACTAGGCCTTATGTGCGTCCTCAGGGTCCAGCATGCCCTGTTCCTGCTCTCCGCACTAGGCCTTATGTGCGTCCCCAGGGTCCAGCATGCCCTGTTGCTTCTCCCCGCACTAGCCCTGAGATGCGTGTCCTCAGCCCGGTACCTCCAGTTCCGGCACCACGCACCAGGCCTACGGTGCGCCTCAGACGGCCAGAGTCTGCCGTCTGCCCAACGGGGTCTGAACTGCCCGTCTGCCCTAAGGCGCTTGAACTGGCCATCTGTACTGAGCCTGCTAAGCCGCCCGTCTGCCATGAGCCTTCAGAGCCGTCCAGCCAGGATCAGCCAGAGCCTTCCGCCAGACAGGATCAGCCAGAGCCTTCCGCCAGCCATGAGCAGCCAGATCCGTCAGCCAGCCATGAGCAGCCAGATCCGTCAGCCAGCCATGAGCAGCCAGATCCGTCAGCCAGCCATGAGCAGCCAGATCCGTCAGCCAGCCATGAGCAGCCAGATCCGTCAGCCAGCCATGAGCAGCCAGATCCGTCAGCCAGCCATGAGCAGCCAGATCCGTCAGCCAGCCAGGATCCGCCAGAGCCGTCCAGCCAGGATCCGCCAGAGCCAGCCAGCCAGGATCCGCCATTGAGTCCGGTGCTGCCCCTTAGCCAGGTGCTGTCCCTTAGCCCGGTGCTGCCCCTTATCCTGGTGCTGCCTCTTAGTCCGGTGCTGCCCCTTAGCCAGGTGCTGTCCCTTAGCCCGGTGCTGCCCCTAAATCCAGGTGGGGTAAGTTGGAGGGTGGTCATGTGGAGGAGGCTAGGGAAGCGGGTGGTGACTAAGGTGGGGTGGGGACCACGACCAGGGCCAGAACCGCCACCGTGGACAGACGCCCACCCAGACCCTCCCCTAGACTGTATGCTGGTGCGCCCGGAGTGCGCACCTTTAGGGGGGGGTACTGTGACACTCTGGCTCCGGGACTTTTGTATTTGAGCCAGGGTGTATTTGTTTTGTTGGGTTTTGTTGTGGGGTTTGTTGTATAGGGTGTATTCGGTTGGTTGTGTTTTGGGTGAGTTTATTGTGGTGTCGTGTGACTCCCAATCGGAGGTAACGAGTGTCAGCTGTCGGCTCGTTATCTCTGATTGGGAGCCATATTTAAACTATTTGTGTTCTCATGAGGGTTGTGGGTTTTTGTTCCGTTTCGGTTAGTTAACCGTGGACTTCATGAGTCGTCTTTTGTTTTGTATTTTGTGCGTAATCTATTAAAGTCATGTTCGCCACAAACGCTGCGCTTTGGTCCGCTTCCTTTCAAGACGGCCGTGACAATAGCCTTCAGTCACTTTGTGTAAATAAATTCAGGAGGGAGTAAAGAGAGAAAGTGGGGGAGGAGGGAGGGAAAAGGAGGAGGGAGATAATGTGGACGGGAAAACATTTTGACAATCCTCCTTGTTTAAAAACATAAAAAGGAAAGTCACCAACTGAAACTGTTTTCAGATTCTGTGTTTTCTACGGCTCAATGGAAAACTTCTCTAAATCCACAAATACAAAACACATGTACACACACGCACACGCGCGCACACACACACACACACACACACACACACACACACACACACACACCATTACACACACACACACACACATAACCGGTGTGAAATGGCTAGCTAGCAGTGCGTGCTACTAGTGTTTAAATTAGTGACGTCACTCGCTCTGAGACCTTGAAGTAGTTGTTTCCTTTGCTCTGCAGGGGCCGCAGCTTTTGTGGAGCGATAGGTAACCATGCTTCTTGGGTGACTGTTGTTGATGTGTTCAGAGGGTCCCTGGTTTAAACCCAGGTTGGGGCAAGGAGAGGGATGGAATCAATACTGTTACACACACACACACACACACACACACACACACTAGATAGCATGCTGGTAATGTAGAGCCCTGTAGAGGAGGAGCGGAACGACACACAAACACACAGAGCTGTGTCACATTGTCCAATCACACGACATCCAGAGGTTCTCTCACAACAGACCCCACCCATTTAAGGGCTTGACGTAGAAGTGACGATGATGGCAGGGATCGAGTCGGTTAGGCATGTGGAAGGGACACGCCCACTTACACCTTTAGACTTCTCCTTTCTGACATCTTCCAGCTGCGACAGAGGGAGACAGTGTGGTGTCATTCTCACGGCATAATACAGTCAAATGTATTAATTGATTGGCTGATTGACTGATTGAATGATTGGTTGCTACAAGTTTTTAAACTATACAGTACAAGTATATACATCTGCACTCACTAATGGGATAGGCCACTGGACAGAATGACCTTTTGACCTCTGAGAGAAGGTGGGGTGGAGCTGGGTGACATCACTGGACACCTGACAACTGGTCGGACGAGAGGAGAGTTCTGCCTCCGTAAGGCCCTGAGACATAAACAGACAGACCCGTTGAGCGGGAGTTGGCCCCTCATAGGGGTGGGAGGGCCAAGAGGACTCCAAAAGTTCCTAAAGTTTAAAGAGAGAGAGGCAGGAAGACTCACTGATTCGCTGTCATACAGGGAAGAGAAGCGGCGCTTGTCAGTCTTGCCGGGGTCAGATGTTGTACTGGTGAGGGTTGAACGACAGGTGGAGGACATGAAGCTGCTGTTGCTAAAACGATCTCTGGTGCAGAGAGAGGGAGAGAGAAAAGAGAAGAGAGAGACGGAGAGAGAGAGAGATAGAGAGAAGAGAGAGAGAAGAGAGAGTAGAGAGAGAGAAGGAGAGAAAGAATGAGCAGAGAGATTCGAGGAGATAAGCGGAGAGAGAGAGAAGAGAGAGAGGAGAGAAGGAGAGAAGAGAGAGAGATTAATTAATTGCATTGAGCCAGAGAGGTGATGGTAGGTTTAAGGTTGTCTAATCTACAGTATAAAAACTCCATCTGACATCTATATCTAATCATCGTAAAGACTATTAAAGGGTTAGAGATTAGAGGTCACTCTAGGAACAGATTAGATACGCACATTAAACGCCCACACCAGTAAAAATCCACATTTTCGAGCTGAAAGATGAAGGCCAGAGCATACCCATGATGTTGCACAATGATTTAAATCAAATCAAATCAAAATGTACTGGTAGCGTACACAATTTAGCAGGTGTCATAGAAAAAAACTTTATTTTACAGCTGATTTATTACTATGTCATACACTACAACTAGGGTCCAGAGTTGGTTAGCCTACTGCCAGATCAGGAACAATTTGGTAAGCATATAATACGAATGTCTAGCAACCCAAAGGTTGAGTGTTCAAATCTCATCACGGACAACTAATTAGCAAATTTGAAACGACTTACTACTTTTTAGCTACTTTGCAACTACTTAGCATGTTAGCTAACCCTTCCCCTAAACCTTAACCCTTCAACCTAACTCCTAACCCTAACCTCAATCTAAGTAACATAATAAACAAATCCCTATCAAAATCTGTCAGTTTAAGCTAGAGATATTTGTTTACTTGCAGGGGCTCCGTCTCAATCCACTCAATCCACAGCTAGCTTCTGTCGTCCTCTGGGTACATTGACTTCAATACAAAACGTAGGAGGCTCATGGTTCTGGTTATGACAAGTTATGTCAGCTGTTATGACATATAATGACATGATTATGGTTATGGTTATGGGTATCAAGTAAAGTGTTACCGACCATTTTATAAATGGTATAATTGCGTGATATGATAGCATTTTGTAAACCCGTTGCCCCAAGATGAATGGTTTTGACCTCTAAAGTTTTGCTTCACTACACGCTCAACTGCTTTGATTGGTGCAATGTTAGCTAGAAACCCCAAGTGTCTATCCAGATAGTGAAAAGGCACCCACGAAAGAAAATTAAAGGAACTTATAGTCACATGTCATTTCCAGCATGCATGATCATGAGCAAAGTCATTGTAACCTATCATTTCACTTCCCCAATGAGAACCATGAGCACAGGCTGACTTGGCTTTGCTGTACCGAAGCAAAGCCTGCCAGCAGCCTACCTACCAACGGTTTGAACGTGTCCATTACAATGTAGAAATTACCGGAGCTTCATCTTATTCTTTCTAAATATTTATTTGGCGGATTCGCATCCGCAATTTATAGAAGAATAGTTGACGAAGTCAAAGATAGCCCAATGGTTTCCATATGTGGCAAAGTTTTCCCTAAACCAATGCTTATGACAAATCCAGCTCCAGAACGAGAGCAGGCTGGCTAATCTTTTGAATACGGAGTAGTAAAATAAACCCAGCAACAACAGATAACATTAGCTAACTACATAAAGTTAGCAAGACAGCTAGCTAGCTAACTAGATAAGGTTAGCATGCTCGCTAGCTACACTGACAGCTGTCAGTGCCCTATTTGTTGATGTTAATTAACTGGAAATTCCCACGCCCAATTTGTGAATATGTATAAGTAGCCTTTGTCATTCTTCGGAGGTGGAACCTAAACGTGCATTGCCTCTCTAAGAAAGGAAATTACATCGAAATAGTGGCGGCAACTTCCTTTGGGGGCGGTCCTTTAAAACTATAATTTTGATATCATAGCTCTATCTATGTATATGAGAGTATTTACATTTCCCCAGCCCCAGCCCCACCCCTCATCTTTTTACTGAAACAGTGGTGGGGAAAATGCTTTGTTATTGTTTCAACTGTGGATTGCCCCTGTAAGGGCCACAAGCGTAGTCAATAAACCACATGGGGGCCATGCTTGCAAACATTAGAAAAAGTTTTAAGTTCAAGTTTAAGTTTAAGTTTAAGAATCAGCCAATTAAAATCGTTTGACGTAGTGCCATGTGAAAGAATGCTGCATTGTAGCTAGTCCCATCAGATAGCATAGAGCTAACGTGTGCCAGGTTAACATCACCAGGTGGCAATGATTATTTCCTGTAACAACTTCCTCATCAGCCTATCAAAGATCTTAAACTTGTGGACGTGACTGTTACAGGCTTTGGTTTTTTCCATTTGTGTTTTGAGGTTGGACTTTGGCACGTATAGCTCGTTAGCACGTAGGGCGCACCGATTGGTGTCACCTCGTTAGTCAGTATGTGTTACATGTGTGCTGGTTGCCATCTCGTTGGTGGGAAGGTGTTTCACCTGTGCTAACCCAGGTGCTATTTAAGAGTGGCTGGCCCAGTGCTCCAGTTGTCTTGAGAGATGCAGAGGGTTAACACCTTTAGTTGGCTCACCCTATTTTTTTGTTCAAACCTTTTTCAAACAAACATTGCAGAGCTGGTTACAATTTCAATTTCATCCCCCTGAAACGATAGAACAAATATTACAACAAATATTATGGCTGAACTCAAATGTGCTGGTTGATAAAATACCTGTATTTATGGAAAATATGTTTGGAAAGGGTATATTGTTTTTAAATGATATTGTAAATTGGAATGGTAGAGTTACAGTGAGGGAAAAAAGTATTTGATCCCCTGCTGATTTTGTACATTTGCCCACTGACAAAGAAATGATCAGTCTATAATTTTAATGGTAGGTTTATTTGAACAGTGAGAGACAGAATAACAACAAAAAAATCCATAAAACGCCTGTCAAAAATGATATAAATTGATTTGCTTTTTAATGAGGGAAATAAGTATTTGACCCCCTCTCAATCAGAAAGATTTCTGGCTCCCAGGTGTCTTTTATACAGGTAAGGAGCACACTCTTAAAGGGAGTTCTCCTAATCTCAGCTTGTTACCTGAATAAAAGACACCTGTCCACAGAAGCAATCAATCAATCAGATTCCAAACTCTCCACCATGGCCAAGACCAAAGAACTCTCCAAGCAGCTTGGTGAGAAGGTGACAACAGTTGGTGCGATTATTCGCAAATGGAAGAAACACAAAAGAACTGTCAATCTCCCTCGGCCTGGGGCTCCATGCAAGATCTCACCTCGTGGAGTTGCAATGATCATGAGAACGGTGAGGAATCAGCCCAGAACTACACGGGAGGATATTGTCAATGATCTCAAGGCAGCTGGGACCATAGTCACCAAGAAAACTATTGGTAACACACTACGCCGTGAAGGACTGAAATCCTGCAGCGCCCGCAAGGTCCCCCTGCTCAAGAAAGCACATATACAGGGCTGTCTGAAGTTTGCCAATGAACATCTGAATGATTCAGAGGAGAACTGGGTGAAAGTGTTGTGGTCAGATGAGACCAAAATGGAGCTCTTTGGCATCAACTCAACTCGCCGTGTTTGGAGGAGGAGGAATGATGCCTATGACCCCAAGAACACATTTACATTACATTTACGTCATTTAGCAGACACTCTAATCCATCAAACAAGGAGGTGGAAACATTATGCTTTGGGGGTGTTTTTCTGCTAAGGGGACAGGACAACTTCACCGCATCAAAGGGACGATGGACGGGGCCATGTACCGTCAAATCTTGGGTGAGAACCTCCTTCCCTCAGCAAGGGCATTGAAAATGGGTCGTGGATGGGTATTCCAGCATGACAATGACCCATAACACACGGCCAAGGCAACAAAGGAGTGGCTCAAGAAGAGGCACATTAAGGTCCTGCAGTGACCTAGCCAGTCTCCAGACCTTAATCCCATAGAAAATCTGTGGAGGGAGCTGAAGGTATGAGTTGCCAAACGTCAGCCTCGAAACCTTAATGACTTGGAGAAGATCTGCAAAGAGGAGTGGGACAAAATCCCTCCTGAGATGTGTGCAAACCTGGTGGCCAACTACAAGAAATGTCTGACCTCTGTGATTGCCAACAAGGGTTTTGCCACCAAGTACTAAGTCATGTTTTGCAGAGGGGTGAAATACTCATTTCCCTCATTAAAATGCAAATCAATTTATAACATTTTTGACATGCGTTTTTCTGGATTTTTTTTGTTGTTATTCTGTCTCTCGCTGTTCAAATAAACCTACCATTAAAATTATAGACTGATCATGTCTTTGTCAGTGGGCAAACGTACAAAATCAGCAGGGGATCAAATACTTTTTTCCCTCACTGTATGTCTTTCTTGGAGTTATCAGAATTGTATGGGAAGGTCTGCTCAATCCAAGATTACAACCAATTGATTACAGCATTACCCCCAAAAATGGATGAGGCAGGTGGCAGCGGGAGGAGGTAGGGAACTGGTCTGTCTGCCCTATATAAAGGATCAAAACTGGCAGAGGAATAAAAATAGCATAAATAGGAAAGTATGCCTGTGTCATTTGAGGACCAGGAGGTTGACAGCTGTGCCATTGAGATTGCCAAAAAAAAAAAAATGTACCGATTTCCTGGTACAGGGTGTATGAGTTGATATATAAAACGACGCAAGATTCAAGACTTCGTGCTTTTCAGCTAAAATTATTATACAGAATTCTTGCCACCAACAAAATGTTGAATATTTGGGGCATACAATCATTGCAGCTATTTAGATTTTGTGGTGAGGATACAGAATCAATAGACCATTTGTTTTGGTATTGCCCTCAGGTAGCTGTTTCTGGTCTCAGGTTCAGGAATGGCTAAAAAAGCATAACATTAATCTAAATTTGACCCTAGAAATAGTATTGTTGGGAGATCTGGAGAGACCTGGTCAGTCAATTACTAATATACTAATACTCTTAGTAAAAATATTCATCTTCAACTCGCAATCTGTGGATTCTATTCGATTAGATAGATTCAAATTGTATGTTAAACATCACAGCATAGTTGAAAGATATATGGTGCGTAGAAATCCGAAGAGGGTGGCCAGCAGAGATAGGTGGGATGGGCTGAGGGAAGCTGAGGGTTGGGATGTGGAATTGGAATAATGTGGGAGTGGAGTTGCTGGGCGGGGGATAGAATGATGGTCAAAGATAAACGTAAAAATAAAACAAAACAATAAGTACATTTGAATGACACTGAGGGACAACGTTGCTAATGCCTGTTTGCCTGAGGCTGATGCCGCGCAGGTGTTTGTACGCGTGTGCACATGCATATACACACACTCTCATTCAAACGCACACACATGCACATACACAGACACACACACACACGTAAATAGTGCCATACATGCACTCAAACATATTCATTTGGCCTTGCTGTTATGATTTTTGTTGTCCTTGATGTCTTTTGTTGTTTGCATTGTTGTTTTCTGTTTTCTTTTGTCTTTGTCTTTTTTCTCTTTTGTTAATTTTGTTGGTGCATTGGGGGACGGGGGGCTTGGGGGGGGGGGACGGGGGGCTTGGAGGTGGCGAATGGAATTATTTTATTTTTATTATGATTCTCGGGGGAACTGTGAGGGGGATCTTCCAGGGCTGGTGGCCTGGCAGTTGGGAGTGGAAAGGGGATTATGTATTGTCTTGTGCTGGGAACTGGTTATTTTGCTACACCGGTGACTGTCTTACTCTGTAATTTAATTTTTGCTTTGCTTGTCTAATGCTCATGGAAAAAAATACAAAGCAATTATCAAAAAACGACAACTCGGCATTAGCATACTAAATTGCAAGGAAGCTCTTATTATGAACTGAAACACTCTTTGGAATGACATGAACCTCTGCATTTATTTTTTGCCAAAGCTTTCTGAGTACTTGAATTACACAAAGACAAAGTTGTATGGTCCTTCTTCATTATTGTCACGGTTCAGACAGACGACCAGAGGACCACAATTGCGTCACACCAGAAAGTTTATTAAAACTTAAGGGAAAAGGGAAGTAGGGAGTGAATGAAGGCTCCAGGGGTAACAGGGATCCCGTCCAATGTGCTGGGTCTGTGCCCCCCCCAGTGGCAGCGATGCGTCCTATGAAGCCGGTGGTGGGTGGTCCAGAAGTCCTGGGGGGGGGAGACACAGACACAACAGGGCGGAATGAAACAAGGCAGCAGTACAGTTCAAGGGAAATCCAAAATACGTAGTAGCAAGGCAGAAGGCTGGTCAGAGTTACCGGGATAGAAGAGTAGTCAGGAGTCGTTATGGCAGAAGCAGGTCTGGATCTCCTGGGGCAGAAGAGTATCCAAAAATCAGGCAGGTCCGGGGTCACAAAACCAGGGTGAGCCAGAAGCGCGAGCAAACAGGTTCCGGGTGTGAGCTTTGCAGACGATCTGACAAAGGAGAGCTGAAAGACAGGGCTTTAAATACTGGGAGAGGTTGTGGGTAATGCAGCGCAGCTGGCAGAGTAATTAGAGCAGAGCAGGGACAGGTGGAGCTAGTTAGGCTGAGTAGAGAGAGTGGTGAGCAGAGTGGAAGAAAATTAAGGTGGTAACCCGGTGGAGTGAGAGGCTCATGACAGAACCCCCCCCCCAAGGGACGGCCCCAGAAGTCCCAAGAGCAACACCACGCCGGGCGGGAGGAGGGGAGCCGGAGGAGGGCTAGAACTCCTCCGAACGGTCCGAGTGAACGTCCTCATCCTCGGAGGAAGCCGGAGGGCCGTGGTCGGGAGATGGGACAGGTCCCGAGACAGGATCAGGCACAGGACAGGAAGCCGAGCGGGCAGGACGGTTAGGGACCCCTCTGGGGCGGCCCCTACGGATTGCAGGTTGATCCGGATGCCGTTGGTGGAAAGCGGTGATGAGAGTCCTATCCACAATCCGACTAGCTGGCACCCAGGTCCTTTCCTCAGGTCCATAGCCCTCCCAGTCAATGAGGTACTGGAGACCCCTACCCCTCCGTCTGGACCGAAGCAGGCGGCGGACGGTGTAAACCAGACCACCATCGACGAGCCGTGGAGGAGGAGGACAAGGCGCAGCAGGGACCAGCGGACTCTCATGGATGGGCTTAATCTTAGACACATGGAAAGTGGGGTGCACCCTCAGGGAATTAGGCAGTTGGAGCCGGACAGCAGTTGGGCTAATCACTCTTATGATAGGGAATGGGCCAATGAACCGAGGTGCCAGCTTCTGCGACTCCACCCTGAGTGGCAGGTTCTTTGATGACAACCACACCCTTTGACCAACATGGTAGGTGGGAGCAGGAATTCTCCGACGGTTGGCCCCGGTAGTGTAGCTGGCAACGGATCTGAGGAGTGTGGCTCGGGCTTGTGACCAGGTGCGGCGACATCGACGGGCAAAAGCAAGTGCAGATGGGCAAGTAACCTCCTCTTCCTGGCTGGCAAATAGAGGAGGCTGGTATCCATAAACACATTGGAAAGGGGACATACCGATGGCAGAGCAGGTCAGTGAATTGTGTGCGTACTCCACCCATGTCAATTGCTGCGACCAGGAGTGGGGGTTGCGTGAAGTCATGCATCGCAGTGCCTTCTCGAGCTCCTGATTAGCCCGCTCTGACTGCCCATTGGATTGGGGATGGAATCCGGAAGTCAGACTGACTGTGGCTCCCAGCAGGTGACAGAACTCCTTCCAAAAAGCGGAGGAGAATTGTGGACCACGGTCAGAAACTACATCCTTAGGCAGTCCGTGGATCCGGAAGACGTGTTCCAGGACCACCTGGGCGGTCTCCTTGGCGGTTGGGAGCTTGGGGAGGGGAATGAAGTGTGCCATCTTGCTGAAACGGTCAACTATGGTGAGAATGACGGTCATGCCACTTGAAGGGGGCAGCCCCGTGACAAAGTCAAGGGCGATGTGAGACCAGGGACGTCTGGGCACAGGCAGGGGCTGCAGCAATCCGGCTGGGGGCTGGCAGGACGACTTGTGTTGGTTGCAGATGGGGCAGGCTTGGACGAATTCCCGTACATCCCTTCTCAGAGAGGGCCACCAGAACCTCTGGGCGAGCAGGTTGTAAGTGCGGGTGGAGCCAGGGTGACAAGCTAGGCGGGAGTCATGTCCCCACTGAACGACCTGGGACCTCAGGTCTTCGGGGACAAAAAGGCGGTCAGCTGGGCAAGTGCTGGGACCTGGCTGGTTACGGAGAGCCTCCAGCACCTGTTCCTCAACAGCCCAGGTCAGAGCTGCAACGATGCAGGGACTTGGCAGAATCGACACAGGGTCCTTGGAGGGGGTGTCATCCTTCTGGAATTGACGGGAGAGGGCGTCTGGCTTGGTGTTGCGTGATCCAGGCCGGTATGACAGAGTGAAATTAAACCTGGTGAAGAACAGGGCCCAGCGGGACTGCCTGGAGTTCAAACCGTTTGGCCGTGCGGATGTACTCCAAGTTCTTATGATCGGTCCAAACGAGAAATGGAATGGTGGACCCCTCCAGCCAGTGACGCCACTCCTCCAAGGCAAGCTTCACAGCCAGCAGCTCACGGTTCCCTATGTCGTAATTGCACTCAGAGGGGGACAACCGACGTGAGAAAAAGGCACAGGGATGGAGCTTCCTATCCTCCGCAGCCCACTGAGAAATCACAGCACCAACTCCCACATCCGAGGCGTCCACCTCCACAATGAATTGCCGGTCCACATCAGGCATCTGGAGGATGGGAGCGGAGGTGAACCTCACCTTGAGGGTACTGAAGGCTTTGTCGGCTGCTGGGGTCCAGGTGAAGGGTTGCTTGGTGCTGGTTAGAGCAGTGAGAGGGGCAGCAACGGTACTGTAGTTCCGGATAAACTTTCTGTAGAAGTTAGCAAACCCCAGAAACTGTTGCAGCTTCTTTCTGTTCTCCGGAACTGGCCATGAAGTGACTGCTGATACTTTGGCAGGATCCATTTGGATACTTCCCTCTGCCACTATGTACCCCAGGAAGGCCACTGTCTTGACGTGAAACTCACATTTCTCTGCCTTGGCGTAGAGGGAATTCTCCAGAAGACGATGAAGGACTTGCTGGACATGGCGGGTGTGTTCAGACAGGTTTCTGGAGTAGATTAAGATGTCATCCAGGTAAACGAAGACAAACTTGTTTAACATGTCCCGCAGTACATCATTCACTAGAGCCTGGAACACAGCAGGAGCATTGGTGAGGCCAAAAGGCATAACCAGATACTCGTAGTGGCCTGTTGGTGTATTGAATGCGGTTTTCCATTCATCTCCCTCCCGGATCCGCACTAGGTGGTAAGCGTTTCTGAGATCCAACTTGGTAAAAACAGTGGCTCCCTGGAGCAACTCAAAAGCAGAGGTGAGCAGAGGCAGAGGGTAACGGTTTTTCACTGTGATGTCGTTGAGTCCCCTGTAGTCGATGCAGGGGCGAAGAGATCCGTCCTTCTTCCCCACAAAGAAGAAGCCAGCACCAGCAGGAGATGAAGATGAACGGATTAATCCTGCGGACAGAGAGCCATTGATGTAGTCCTCCATGGACTTTCTTTCAGGAGCAGACAACGAATAAAGACGACCCTTTGGAGGGGCTGTTCCAGGGAGGAGGTCGATGGCACAGTCGTACGGTCGGTGAGGGGGCAGAGATGTGGCTCTTGCTTTGTTAAACACCTCTCTGAGACCATGGTAGCATTCTGGGACATTGGAGAGGTCAGGAGCGGAGTTAGTAGGTACTGGCCGAGGGGGGTAGTGCGGCAGCAAGCAGGCAGGTTCGGTGGCAGTCCTCTCCCCACTCCCTGATCACCCCGGTCACCCAGTCGAGCTGAGGGTTGTGCCGGCGGAGCCATGGGTAACCCAGGATGAGGGGTTGGCCTGGAGAGGGGAGCAGGTGAAACTGGATAGTTTCTTGATGGTTTCCGGACAGACCCATCGAGACCGGGGCCGTGACATGAGTGACCGATCCGAGTAAGTGTCCGTCCAGTGCCCGGGCAGGAATAGGAGGTGTCAAACGGAGGTTCTCCAGTCCCAGTTGGCGTGCCAGCTTGATGTCCATTATGTTGGCTTCGGCGCCAGAATCCACCAGAGCAGCCAGGGTGTGAGTTGAGTCAGAGAGGCGGAGGTGAACTTGCAGCAGGGGTTTGCGGTCGGAGGACTGGATGGTCATTGAACTCAACCGGACTCCCCCTATGCCCGGTGAGCTTCGGCCCTTTAAAGGGCAGGTTACCACACGATGTCCATCACCTCCACAATAGAGGCAGAGGTTTGAGGTGAAGCGGCGCTGGCGCTCTGCAGGAGTGAGAGAGGCTCGCCCAATCTCCATAGGCTCAGACTGATCAAGCTGACCTGGGTGAGTGGCAGTAGATGACAGGAGCCCAGTCGGATCTCTCCGAATGCCGGTAGTAGGTGGACCTTGGCGCCCCCTCTCACGACGACGGGTCTGTATCCTTCTGTCGATCCTGACAGTCAGTGCGATGGCTTCATCAAGAGTGGAAGGCAGTTCATGGGAGACCAACTCGTCCTTGATATAGTCAGCCAAACTATGGAAGAACGCGTCCACCAACGATGGTGTGTTCCAAGAACTTCGTCTAGCCAGGGTTCGGAAGTCGATGGAATGGTCTGCGACTGTACGTCTGCCTTGTCGAATACTGAACAGTTCACGAGACGCCTCTGCGGTGGGTGAATCCAGGTCAAACACCTTCAGCATCTCCTCAGCAAACAGGTCGAAGGTTGCACATGCGGGGGTTTGACGTTCGAACTCTGCTGTTCCCCAGAGTCGAGCTCGGCCCGTCAGGTGAGTGATGGCATACCCAACTTTAGCCCCCTCCGTGGCGAAGGTCCTTGGCTGCAAGGAGAACTGAAGTCGGCAGCTAGTCAGGAATGGCCGGACCTGGGTTGAGTCGCCGTTGAACCGCTCGGGGTTTCCAATCTTGGGTTCCGGAGCAGCGGCTGCAATGACCGGGGCAGGTAACTCGGGGGCAGGGCTGGTGGGCAGACTGGCTGGGGTAAGGTTGGTGAGGAGTTGAATGATCATGGCGAGTTGTTGTTGCTGCTGCTGGAACTGCTGCTCATGCTCATCGGTTTCCATGTCGGGGAAAGTGTGCGCTGAGTCCATAATGGTCAGATCGTACTGTCACGGTTCAGACAGACGACCAGAGGACCACAATTGCGTCACACCAGAAAGTTTATTAAAACTTAAGGGAAAAGGGAAGTAGGGAGTGAATGAAGGCTCCAGGGGTAACAGGGATCCCGTCCAATGTGCTGGGTCTGTGCCCCCCCCAGTGGCAGCGATGCGTCCTATGAAGCCGGTGGTGGGTGGTCCAGAAGTCCTGGGGGGGGGGAGACACAGACACAACAGGGCGGAATGAAACAAGGCAGCAGTACAGTTCAAGGGAAATCCAAAATACGTAGTAGCAAGGCAGAAGGCTGGTCAGAGTTACCGGGATAGAAGAGTAGTCAGGAGTCGTTATGGCAGAAGCAGGTCTGGATCTCCTGGGGCAGAAGAGTATCCAAAAATCAGGCAGGTCCGGGGTCACAAAACCAGGGTGAGCCAGAAGCGCGAGCAAACAGGTTCCGGGTGTGAGCTTTGCAGACGATCTGACAAAGGAGAGCTGAAAGACAGGGCTTTAAATACTGGGAGAGGTTGTGGGTAATGCAGCGCAGCTGGCAGAGTAATTAGAGCAGAGCAGAGCAGGGACAGGTGGAGCTAGTTAGGCTGAGTAGAGAGAGTGGTGAGCAGAGTGGAAGAAAATTAAGGTGGTAACCCGGTGGAGTGAGAGGCTCATGACAATTATATGACGCTCTGCCAGAATGGCGCTTGTTTAATGAAGTTTAGATTAAAGCTGAATCAATGTCTTGCATGATCACTTAAGGATGAATTAGTATTCTACATATATAACAGCATAGTACAATGTTACTGTTAGACCAAAAACACCACTTAATTTCTTATGTAGGCTACATGCATTATTATAATCATCCACTACATCACATATGCCTTATTTGAATCAAGCATCAAGGACCAGCTGTGAACAGTTTTTTCATTAACTTGAAGGGGACTCAAACCCATGAATCCTGTAGCCCAGAGTTTCAGGGTTAAGCAGCTTAGCACTGTACGCCACCTGGCAGCAATGTCAATTGTGGTAAATTACAGCTATTTGACAAGGCCACAAGGCTCTTCGACTTTAAAAAAAGATATACTATGTATGAGAAACGTACATATTGTATAGATGTCCTTATATACACTGCTCAAAAAAATAAAGGGAACACTTAAACAACACATCCTAGATCTGAATGAATGAAATAATCTTTTTAAATACTTTCTTCTTTACATAGTTGAATGTGCTGACAACAAAATCACACAAAAATTATCAATGGAAATCAAATGTATCAACCCATGGAGGTCTGGATTTGGAGTCACTCTCAAAATTAAAGTGGAAAACCACACTACAGGCTGATCCAACTTTGATGTAATGTCCTTAAAACAAGTCAAAATGAGGCTCAGTAGTGTGTGTGGCCTCCACGTGCCTGTATGACCTCCCTACAATGCCTGGGCATGCTCCTGATGAGGTGGCGGATGGTCTCCTGAGGGATCTCCTTCCAGACCTGGACTAAAGCATCCGCCAACTCCTGGACAGTCTGTGGAGCGAGACATGATGTCCCAGATGTGCTCAATTGGATTCAGGTCTGGGGAACGGGCGGGCCAGTCCATAGCATCAATGCCTTCCTCTTGCAGGAACTGCTGACACACTCCAGCCACATGAGGTCTAGCATTGTCTTGCATTAGGAGGAACCCAGGGCCAACCGCACCAGCATATGGTCTCACAAGGTGTCTGAGGATCTCATCTCGGTACCTAATGGCAGTCAGGCTACCTCTGGCGAGCACATGGAGGGCTGTGCGGCCCCCCAAAGAAATGCCACCCCACACCATGACTGACCCACCGCCAAACCGGTCATGCTGGAGGATGTTGCAGGCAGCAGAACGTTCTCCACGGCGTCTCCAGACTCTGTCACGTCTGTCACATGTGCTCAGTGTGAACCTGCTTTCATCTGTGAAGAGCACAGGGGGCCAGTGGCGAATTTGCCAATATTGGTGTTCTCTGGCAAATGCCAAACGTCCTGCACGGTGTTGGGCTGTAAGCACAACCCCCACCTGTGGACGTCGGGCCCTCATACCACCCTCATGGAGTCTGTTTCTGACCGTTTGAGCAGACACATGCACATTTGTGGCCTGCTGGAGGTCATTTTGCAGGGCTCTGGCAGTGCTCCTCCTGCTCCTCCTTGCACAAAGGCGGAGGTAGCGGTCCTGCTGCTGGGTTGTTGCCCTCCTACGGCCTCCTCCACATCTCCTGATGTACTGGCCTGTCTCCTGGTAGCGCCTCCATGCTCTGGACACTACGCTGACAGACACAGCAAACCTTCTTGCCACGGCTCGCATTGATGTGCCATCCTGGACGAGCTGCACTACCTGAGCCACTTGTGTGGGGTGAAAGCACCGCCAGCATTCAAAAGTGACCAAAACATCAGCCAGGAAGCATAGGAACTGAGAAGTGGTCTGTGGTCACCACCTGCAGAACCACTTCTTTATTGGGGGTGTCTTGCTTATTGCCTATAATTTCCACCTGTTGTCTATTCCATTTGCACAACAGCATGTGACATTTATTGTCAATCAGTGTTGCTTCCAAAGTGGACAGTTTGATTTCACAGAAGTGTGATTGATTTGGAGTTACATTGTGTTGTTTAAGTGTTCCCTTGATTTTTTTTAGCAGTGTATATTAGAGCATCAACATCAATACTAATACACTGAGTAGCCAAGTGTGTGTGTGTGCGTGTGTATGTGTGTGTGTGTGTGTGCTCACCGTGTGGCGATGCGTACAGCGGTGAAGATGCAGAAATAACAGTAGATGATGATGAAGAGTGGGATGAAGAAGACGAAGATGAAGAGCAGCATGGTGTAAAAGCAGACGGAAGGCGTGAACGTCATGTAGTCCCACAAACACAACGTCATCAACCCCTCTGGGACATACGCACCTGACAGGTCACACACACACACACACACACACACACACACTTAGATATACACACACTGATAAGTCATATATCCCTCAGACACACAGAGCAATAGCGTGTGTGCGCGTGCATGTGTGTGTGCAAGTGCATGTGTTTGTGTCTGTCTGGCCGTCTGTGTGTGTACTCACTCTAGCCAAAGAAGGGCGGTAGGGACCAGGCCATAGAGTAGAGCCAGGCAGCAGCCATGACGTAGAGGGCCCTACGTCTTGACATCACACCCATGGACGTCAGCGGCCGCGTAATGACGAAGTAGCGGTCCATGGCTATCACCAGCAGAGTCATCATACTGGTCATCCCGAACAATGCTCCACAGAACGCATACAGCTCACATGCTGGGGGGGGGGGGGGGGGGGGGGGGGTGGAGATAAGTAGAGAGATAGACAGAGAGAGAAAAAAAAGAGAGAACGAGAGAAAGAGGGATAGAGAGAGATAAATTGGATGTATGACAGCATGTTCCAGATCCTGCCAATATCCAGCAACTTTGCACAGCCAGTTAAGAGGAGTGGGACAACATTCCACAGGCCACAATCAATAGCCTGATCAACTCTATGCGAAATACCTGTGTTGCACTGCATGAGGCAAATGGTGGTTACATTTCTGATCCACTCCCCTAACTTTTTTTTAAAGGTATCTGTGACCAACAGAGTCATATCTTTATTCCCAGTCATGTGAAATCCATAGATTAGGGCCTAATGAATTTATTTAAATTGACTGATTTCCTTATATGAACTGTAACAGTAAAATCATTGAAGTTAAATGTCCACACCAGCTAAAGATGATGCCCAGAGCTTACCCATGATGTTGCACAACAATTTAAGTCAATTAGTCATAGTTTTAGTCTAAGTATGATATATTTGGACTTGAAGTGGGAAATCCAAAGTGGGAACTTAACGGAAATCCGTGTCAATTACGTGTACATTCTTTCTGAATTATGTGTCAGTTATAGGGCTGGCTTTAGTTAATTTGGAACCACCTACCTAGAAATATGTTAGCGCTAACACGTGTGGGCTCCTTACTTCCTGTTTACAACCTTTTGCTACTGTGGCTTACTGCGGTCTGCAATGCACTACGACTGTTGGGAGATGTTGGATGGGCTGATGCCAGTAAAACGGCGAGTAAGAAAATAGTTATGTTATTCTGATGAGTGGATGAAGTGGATAGGGGAAATGTCAACACAGCTAGGACACCTCGTGTAGATAGCTAGCAAGTAGCAGCTCCTCGCTAACTATACAAGTTTGGCTAGCTAGCCGGTGAAGTAAATCCATATGAAGAAAGTTAATAGATAGCTTTAGTTTTGTTACCAAATGCGAAGCTGTCTCCAAAACTGCAAGGTGTCTCCACAGTAATAAACCTAGCTGTCAAAGGGAATGTGCTTGCTGGCCAATGTGATACAAAATGCTACAAAGTAATATCAAAATGTGCAAACTTGTAAGGACAAAACATAATTATGTTTTAATTAACCAGCTAGCTTGCTTTCAAAGTTAAGAGATTGGGTGTATGTAGCTAGTGAAATTAGTTCATCCCTCAATTTTGCACTTCTGTGTCTAGCAGAGTAACATAGTGTGAGTACCTTATTGTGAAGGTAGGCCTATGTCACTGTAAATAACATAACTCACATGCCCAGAAAACGCCCAGAGGATTCTCTCTCGCCCAAAAAATTTAAATCAGGTCACCGTAAATGATTGTCCAAAATCCCTACACCACCTAGGTGAAATAGAGAAGGGTCAGGACTACTAGGCTGGACAATCATGGGTGGCTTGACCCGGGTGTTGATGTACACGGTGGGTAGGAACCAGTGAAGGCTGCTCAGAGGAAGAAGGGGAGGACCATCCTCCTCAGTGAATTTCATAAAAATGTAAATAGTGGAACATTAAAACAGTTATCGTTTTTAGATAAAACTATACTAAATATATTCACGTCACCAAATAATTGATTAAAACACACTGTTTTGCAATAAGGTCTACAGTAGCCTCAACAGAACTCTGTAGGGTACCACCATGGTGTAGCCCGAGGACAGCTAGTTTCCGTCCTCCTCTGGGTACATTGACTTCAATACAAAACCTAGGAGGCTCACGGTTCTCACTCCCTTCCATAGGCTTACACAGTAATTATGACAACTTCCGGAGGACATCCTCCAACCTATCAGAGCTCTTGCAGCCTGAACTGACATGTTGTCCATCCAATCAAAGGATCAGAGAATGAATCTAGTACTGAAAGCATAAGCTACAGCTAGCACTGCATTGCATAAAATGTGGTGAGTAGTTGACTCAAAGAGAGAGAAAGAACAAATCAATTTCTTAAAAAATGAAGGAGAAGCAAAAGATAGAGAGAGAGCTAGCTATATTTTGTTGTATTTTTTCCCTCTTTCATGTTCACTTACTTAGCTAGCGAATCCAGCTAGCTAGTTTAGCTTACTCAAACACCCGGCTCAAACAGAGAGGGATGCTATGTTAGCTAGCTGGCTATGACTATCCAACAATGGAACTCTTCCAAGTCAAGGTAAGCTTTTGGTTATATGAATTTATTGCCACTGTAACTGCGAAACTGCATAATTGTAGCGGGTTTACTAATGCGTTAGTTCTAGTAGCTATGTTGACTATGACGTTAGCTATGGTGACAACGATCTAGGCTGTGTGTAGCAGTTAGCGGTTACGACACAAAGGTTTGGTTTGTAACGTTTTTTTTTGCCTGGTCACAGACAGCTGATGTGTTGTGGTCCTCTGTAGCTCAATTGGTAGAGCATGGCGCTTGTAACGCCAGGGTAGTGGGTTCGATCCCCGGGACCACCCATATGTAAAAATGTATGCGCACATGACTGTATGTCGCTTTGGATAAAAGCGTCTGCTAAATGGCATATTATTATTATTGTGCACTGAAGTCCACAAGCGAAGGGGAAAAACGTTAGAGGACGAGAGAGCGTACGTGAGAAGGAATTGATGTGGCTGCTATGAATGTGAACTGTGTTTGCGTGTGATCAGGGGTGTATTCATTCCACTGATACTGTTGAAAAAAAATCTTAAACGGAAGCAAACGGAACGAAACTGGGATAAACATAACTGAATTTGTCCAATAGAAACTCTTGTTTGCCACTGTTGGACTAATGATCAGCTAGATGCAGGCAAGAGTGTGCAAGGCGGTATTGAATGTGTCACTGTCTGTCACCTTGATTACTCAAATAACATTACTCTTCAGTTTTTGCCTAAAATGACATCCTCAAATCTAACTGCCTGTAGCTCAGGACCTGAAGCAAGGATATGCATATTCTTGATACCATTTGAAAGGAAACACTTTGAAGTTTGTGGAAATTTGAAATTAATGTAGGAGAATATAACACATTAGATCTGGTAAAAGATAATATAAACAAAAAAAACATTTGAAATGCAAGAGAAAGGCCACAATATAATATTGCAGTTTAGGCACAAGTGGAGAGGGTCCATGAAGCCAATTCCCTGTTAATATGGATGGGGGCATAATCCCTACTCTGTCTCCTGTAGTCCACGATCAGCTCCTTTTACATTGAGGGAGAGGTTATTTTCCTGGCATCATTCCGCCAGGGCTCTAATCTCCTCCCTGTAGGCTGTCTCGTCGTTGTTGGTAATCAGGCCTACCACTGTCTTGTCACCAGTAAACTTAAGGATTGAGTTGGAGTCGTGCGTAGCCACACAGTCATAGTAAACAGGGAGTACAGGGAGATTTTTTCCCCAGCCAATTGTGTCGAAAATACTTTCATTACGCGAGGCTTTGATCAACACATTGTACACTAGTGGCACCTGCTGGTCAAAATAATTTAGAACAGCCAAATTATTATAAATGACATTGCACACGCCGTAGCGCGTGCGCAGGGTAGTCTTTTTGTCTTCTACCAAAACCAATACCAAACCAATCAGGTGGATGTTTGACAAAACAATGCTTCAGACGTCTGCTGGTGTCCTAGGTCTAAATAAATCCCTGATTAGAGGGGAGCAATGAACAAATGCAGTAGAACTGGCTTCATGGTCCAGAGTTGAGTTTAGCCTTGTTCACATTGGCAATTTGATATGACTCAAATCCCCCTCCAAAATAATATCAGATTCGAATGTATTCTTTTTCCTGCAGTCTGAACAGCCATAAAGTACATGGAATCGGATATTTCAAGCCACATTTCAAACCACCTTCGTAGGTTATTTGAAGTCAGATACAAATCTGATTCCTGGCCATGCAACTTGTGTCTGAATGGTAAAATGTAATTTCTTTGCCCTGAAGTTTTTTTTAGGCTGTTATTTGGCATATCTTGTTGCTTGCTGGCTACTCTGTTGACAGTTTGACAAGAACATGTGGTAGCTAACTAGCTTGTTTATTGTTCACAAACAAATTAGTGAATGTGCTAGAAATCTAAACAGCTACCTAGCTAGCTAGTTGACTGCTGTGGCTAGACAAAAAGGACTCATTTTGAAAGTTGGATAATCTTATCCTTTGAGGCTTTAAAAGCAACTGGGAAACGTTCATGGCAGGCATTGTTGTCACCTTACCTTGCTACATAACTTCTGAGTGATAGGAACCACGAACACCATCACCAATCAGCCTAAACCACTGTGCACACACCCGTCGTTACTATGACAAATAAGGTAGCCATGTCAGCAAATGACTGCTGTCTCAACACACACAAATCCAATTTGGCCACTTTTAACTTGCTGTTTGGAAAGACAGTATTCCAAAACGGATTAGAAAACCAAAACTGATTTGAGCATTAAGGCCTGCAATGTGAACAAGGCTTTAGAGGGCCCTTCCTGATGAAACCAGTGACAGAGTCAGTGTAGTCGTTGATGTTATTCCCAGAGGCGACTCGGAACATATCCCAGTGGATTCCGAATGTTCCGACCGATGTTGCGCAGACCTTACTATCAGTGCTTCCTGCTTTAATTTCTGCCAAGAGGCGGGGAGGAGCACAATGGAGGCGTGATCTGATTTGCCGAAGGGAACGGCGGGGGAGGGCCTTGTAGCCGTCTCGGACTGGAGAATAACAGTGATCAGTACAGTAACAGTTATCAAGGTGACCTGTTGCCTACCCCAGAAACATCACTCTATCATAGTCATAATGCATGAGAACAGCACACTCACAGAAACACACACACATACACGCATGCACACCCGCACGAATGCACGCACACAGAGCTGTAACAGGGCGAAGCGAGGATGAATGACATACACACTCATTATTGCCTGAGTGTGTTATAACCATCTACATCTCACCCCCTTGTATTAACAACAATCTGTCAGCACAGCACCCAGCATCATGGGAATGTGTGTGTGTGTGTGTGTGTGTGTGTGTGTAAATATCTCAAAAACATATA